GCTTGCTCTCTGAAGGCCTGATACTTGTGAAGCTGTCTCTCTGAAGGCCTGATACTTGTGAAGCTGTCTCTCTGAAGGCCTGATAGTTGTGAAGCTTGCTCTCTGAAGGCCTGATAGTTGTGAAGCTGGCTCTCTGAAGGCCTGATACTTGTGAAGCTGTCTCTCTGAAGGCCTGATACTTGTGAAGCTGTCTCTCTGAAGGCCTGATACTTGTGAAGCTGTCTCTCTGAAGGCCTGATAGTTGTGAAGCTGGCTCTCTGAAGGCCTGATACTTGTGAAGCTGTCTCTCTGAAGGCCTGATAGTTGTGAAGCTGGCTCTCTGAAGGCCTGATAATTGTGAAGCTGGCTCTCTGAAGGCCTGATAGTTGTGAAGCTTGCTCTCTGAAGGCCTGATACTTGTGAAGCTGTCTCTCTGAAGGCCTGATACTTGTGAAGCTGTCTCTCTGAAGGCATGATACTTGTGAAGCTGGCTCTCTGAAGGCCTGATACTTGTGAAGCTGGCTCTCTGAAGGCCTGATACTTGTGAAGCTGGCTCTCTGAAGGCCTGATACTTGTGAAGCTGTCTCTCTGAAGGCCTGATACTTGTGAAGCTGGCTCTCTGAAGGCCTGATACTTGTGAAGCTGTCTCTCTGAAGGCCTGATAGTTGTGAAGCTGGCTCTCTGAAGGCCTGATAGTTGTGAAGCTGGCTCTCTGAAGGCCTGATAGTTTTGAAGCTTGCTCTCTGAAGGCCTGATACTTGTGAAGCTGTCTCTCTGAAGGCCTGATACTTGTGAAGCTGGCTCTCTGAAGGCCTGATACTTGTGAAGCTGGCTCTCTGAAGGCCTGATACTTGTGAAGCTGGCTCTCTGAAGGCCTGATAGTTGTGAAGCTTGCTCTCTGAAGGCCTGATACTTGTGAAGCTGTCTCTCTGAAGGCCTGATACTTGTGAAGCTGTCTCTCTGAAGGCCTGATAGTTGTGAAGCTTGCTCTCTGAAGGCCTGATAGTTGTGAAGCTGTCTCTCTGAAGGCCTGATACTTGTGAAGCTGTCTCTCTGAAGGCCTGATACTTGTGAAGCTGTCTCTCTGAAGGCCTGATACTTGTGAAGCTGTCTCTCTGAAGGCCTGATAGTTGTGAAGCTGGCTCTCTGAAGGCCTGATACTTGTGAAGCTGTCTCTCTGAAGGCCTGATAGTTGTGAAGCTGGCTCTCTGAAGGCCTGATAGTTGTGAAGCTGGTTCTCTGAAGGCCTGATAGTTGTGAAGCTTGCTCTCTGAAGGCCTGATACTTGTGAAGCTGTCTCTCTGAAGGCCTGATACTTGTGAAGCTGTCTCTCTGAAGGCATGATACTTGTGAAGCTGGCTCTCTGAAGGCCTGATAGTTGTGAAGCTGGCTCTCTGAAGGCCTGATACTTGTGAAGCTGGCTCTCTGAAGGCCTGATACTTGTGAAGCTGTCTCTCTGAAGGCCTGATAGTTGTGAAGCTGTCTCTCTGAAGGCCTGATACTTGTGAAGCTGGCTCTCTGAAGGCCTGATACTTGTGAAGCTGTCTCTCTGAAGGCCTGATAGTTGTGAAGCTTGCTCTCTGAAACCAGGCACTCCAGATTATAACAGGGCAACCATAACAGTCAACGATTTTACAAATATCTAATAATAGTACACTCAGTTTACGTTATCCAGGAAAATTGATAATGCTGACCACGCCTCTTTTAATGAGCCAACAAGTTTCAACAGTTCACACCTGATAATGTGGCAGCTCGGGGATCTTTGAAGAAGTATAGAGACACTTACAGATCTTCATTGATAATCTTCTTCCATCTTCCGCCCATTCTGCACCATCAATATTACACCATTACTAGCATAGAATAGAAACACACCTTTCCACCAGGTGGTAATGTTTGTGTACGGATCGAAATTCAGTTTTTGAGTTTGCGACAGTCTCTGAACTCTTTTCTCTAATTTCTAGCCGGCCGCGATAAGTGTACTAACACGTCTCAGACGTTTTAGCAAAGACAGCATAACATTAGACTTGTCAACCCTAGATAACCGTGACATGTGATAATTCATCCTACTACTACAGACCTGCCCGCTGTGTGCCAAAAATGGTAGGCGTGAAGTGTTAGATATTTAGTGCGAATTGAGCTGAAACTCTGGATTATAATTTAGCGTTATCTATAACCGGATGAGAGGGCGATGAAATATGTTCTAAACGGTACTTCACGCGTTTATGTGAGGAAATTAATAGTTTGTTAGGTTGATTTGTTGCTGACAGGCACAGTCTGCAGATAAACATATAAATATGTAAGCGGAGTACTTTTGTTCGCGCGATCAGTTAAAAATCTCATCTTATTTCCAATCATTGAAGCAATATATTTGTTTCCGATGAGGAAAGGTCGATAAATGTTTTATCAGTATGATCGACCTTGCTCGTGCTGATAGTTACCGATAAATAGGTAACCGATTTCAGATTACGACAGTGTGAAAGTGAAAGTGTGAGCAGTACTGGATCGTACTCGCAGATTATGACAAGTTTCCCTATTTATCTACACATTCTACAGCCCTGTTTTCACAGAACACATTCAGCGTCAATGAGAAACATTAATTGAAATTGTTTTATCAGCAGTCAGTGTGATGAAATCATCACCAATTGAAACCTTACAGAGCAGTCGGTGGGTATTCAAAATATGTTCAAATATCTCCGAATGAAAGGGCAACTAAAACGATAAAAATACTGATTGCATCATTAGAACAAGCATCAGTGGAAAGTATTAAGTAATAATATTTATATTTTCATCAATTGTGTTCAAAACAAAGAGAGAGCAGTAAAAAAAGTGGGTGGGGTTGACATACTCTCACAGCAAAAAAAAGTGGGTGGGGTTGACATACTCTCACAGTAAAAAAAAGTGGGTGGGGTTGACATACTCTCACAGTAAAAAAAAGTGGGTGGGGTTGACATACTCTCACAGTAAAAAAAGTGGGTGGGGTTGACATACTCTCACAGCAAAAAAAAGTGGGTGGGGTTGACATACTCTCATAAAACAAAGAAACAGCAGTAAAGTAAAAGTGGGTGGGGTTGACATATTCTCACACCCAATTCTTCATGCCCATTGATGATCTCACATTGGAAGTGTGAAAGTGTGAACAGTGAAAGCACTAAGACCAGTGGCCACCAGACAAATATTAACTATTTCAAAGATGAAATTATTTTGTATTTTATTTATATGTTATATATTTATTATTATTATACTTCATCCCCTGCAAAATCGTGATCATTGAAATCCAATTGTTTACAATTATTGGTTAGTGATATCAATAAAAATTTAATTGATTATCTGTGATTAGAAATACGAGAATAAATTCAAAAGTTGACAACTCAATTAGCGGGAATAAAACATTACAGGTCTAAACATTGAAGGCTATTGAAATAGCTTTATCGCTAATACCCAAAGCACTCGGCAATAGCTTGAAGCACCAAAGGAATAGTAACATTTTAGTTAATCTTAGGAATTAGCTATTAGCTGAGAACAGTTTTTAACTTTAACAGCGTTATACACAATCCGATATCTAAGCCAATAAGATTTAATTGACACTGCAAAGAAATAGCAGTATTCATATAATCCCGTGGAATTCTGTGGAATCGCACATTACAACTGACTTTTAACTACCTGCGAATACATAAAACAATAAAAAGTTTATGAAGTGTAAACAGCTATGAGAAGCTTTTGGCGCTTCAGTTCCTCACTCCGAAGGGGAATTATTACTATTCATTCAAAGTCGGCATGTAGTCAAACGCGAGCTGGCTCAAGGTTATATAGCCTGAGAAACACTATACTATTACTATATGTATAATATATACTACTATATACTACTACAATACTGCTAGTTTACTGTTTACTGCTACTTAGAAACACTATACTAGTATTACTATATTAATATACTATTATAAACACTATACTACAACTACTACAAAACTGTTGGTTACTGCTACTGAGAATGAGGCAGTGCTGATATTTGCTAGGTATAGTAGTATACATTCTCTACAATAAGGTCTTCTTTCAGCTCGTTCACGGCCTGGTCAGACTCACAGCGTACGCTTCATGACCACGTGACCGGTCACGTGGTCAGACTCACAGCGTATAGTACGCTTCATGACCACGTGACCGGTCACGTGGTCAGACTCACAGCGTACGCTTCATGACCACGTGACCGGTCACGTGGTCAGACTCACAGAGTACGCTTCATGACCACGTGACCGGTCACGTGGTTAGACTCACAGAGTACGCTTCATGCCCACGTGACCGGTCACTTGGTATTGCCTCGGCACCAGGTCTGAACCATCAACTTATAACACTTTATAATGGTCCGAGCCAAGGCTAATACAATGACGTTATAACGGAGTAATGGTGAATGTGCTGACAATGAATAAAAACCTGCAGCAAGAAGTGAAGATTGTTTAAAATGGTAACTTTCAAAGCTGGAGCTAGGAACAGTGAACTTGTCTGGGGTGTGGTTATCATTGTTACCATAGTGGGGTGTGGTTACCAGTGCTAAATTTAGCACAGTAAATGTTAGAGCACAGTAAATGTTGGAGCACAGTAAATGCAAATGTTAGAGCACAGTAAATGTTAGAGCACAGTAAATGCAAATGTTAGAGCACAGTAAATGCAAATGTTAGAGCACAGTAAATGTTAGAGCACAGTAACTGTTAGAGCACATTAAATGTTAAAGCCACATCCTACTACTGAGTTCCAATGGGGGGCACGAGTGAAACGACAATGGCCTGGGGGTCGACGTGATACAAGGAGATCTCAGTGTATCCAATTTGATGTACAGCATATTGGACCCGTATGTTTAAATATGCACTCCAGTTGAACATAAGTTATCAAATATATGATTAGCTTATTTAATCAAGTTGTTAGTATTATTATTAACTTATTAATATCAATGTTCCGCATGTGTACACGACATTTGATGACACTCATTATGATTTTGAGCTACAAACGGCTGCAAGTTAAGCCACTGATTATCAATCACTGTAAGTCTCAGGGAGGTATAGGATTGCAGCCTGCAGCAGTACAGCCAGCAGTTCAGCCAGCAGCAGTACAGCCAGCAGTTCAGCCTGCAGCTGTACAGCCAGCAGTTCAGCCTGCAGCTGTACAGCCAGCAGTTCAGCCTGCAGCTGTACAGCCAGCAGTTCAGCCTGCAGCTGTACAGCCAGCAGTTCAGCCTGCAGCTGTACAGCCAGCAGTTCAGCCTGCAGCAGTACAGCCAGAAGTTCAGCCTGCAGCTGTACAGCCAGCAGTTCAGCCTGCAGCTGTACAGCCAGCAGTTCAGCCTGCAGCAGTACAGCCAGCAGTTCAGCCTGCAGCAGTACAGCCAGCAGTTCAGCCTGCAGCTGTACAGCCAGCAGTTCAGCCTGCAGCTGTACAGCCAGCAGTTCAGCCTGCAGCAGTACAGCCAGCAGTTCAGCCTGCAGCTGTACAGCCAGCAGTTCAGCCTGCAGCAGTACACCCAGCAGTTCAGCCTGCAGCAGTACAGCCAGCAGTTCAGCCTGCAGCTGTACAGCCAGCAGTTCAGCCTGCAGCTGTACAGCCAGCAGTTCAGCCTGCAGCTGTACAGCCAGCAGTTCAGCCTGCAGCAGTACAGCCAGCAGTTCAGCCTGCAGCTGTACAGCTAGCAGTTCAGCCTGCAGCAGTACAGCCAGCAGTTCAGCCTGCAGCAGTACAGCCAGCAGTTCAGCCTGCAGCAGTACAGCCAGCAGTTCAGCCTGTAGCAGTACAGCCAGCAGTTCAGCCAGCGGTATAATAGCAGTACACATACGTTATCGTGATAAAGGACCTATAAATTGTGGTACTCTGATCGCTGGCAATTTGTCGCAGAGTGAAAACGTGCACTTGTTTCAAGTACTGAATGAGTTTGAACTTCAAACTCGAATGTTTCTACTTCTAATGCGGATCCTCTAGTTTGGCATAATTCGCATTAATTTGTTCAAGCTTGCATGTTAATTAATTGATTAGGTCTTGTGACTGATCACGAAACTGATCACGTGACATTAGAAACGGGTCTTGTGACTGATCACGTGACGTTAGAAACGGGTTTTGTGACTGATCACGTGACGTTAAAAACGTATTTTGTGACTGATCACGTGACTTTAAAAACGGGTCTTGTGACTGATCACGTGACGTTAAAAACGGGTCTTGTGACTGATCACGTGACGTTAAAAACGGGTTTTTTGACTGATCACGTGACGTTAGAAATGGGTCTTGTGACTGATCACATGACGTTAGAAATGGGTCTTGTGACTGATCACGTGACGTTAAAAACGGGTATTGTGACTGATCACGTGACGTTAAAAACGGGTTGTGGTTCTCAGACAACTCCTATGAACAGAAAGTGAAACCTGAGAACAGACCGCGACAAGGACGTAACCCTCATCCTTTATTCTACTCATTTTCAAATTTACATACAACTTTTGTTTCTCGGCCGCCTCTTTGATTTAAACAAAAGAATTAAATTCGAAAAATTTGCTCCATTTTTTACAGGAATCTTTAATAATCTACCTTACTCGGGAATATTATAGCGGGTTAATTTATGACTGGGAAAATTAATGACCGGGAAAAATATGGCGGACTTTCCCAAAACCCGCCAAATTATCCCGGTCATGTATTTACTGGTGGCCGACCTTTCAAGTTTTTTTTCAGAGGTCAACAAATTTTCAACCGAAATTTCTGTTTTTGTTACTTGTTAAAGAAGTTATTTCAATTTACAGTTATTGATATAACTCAGAAATAGAAAAAAAGACACGTCTATTTAAAGGAAAATAAATCTAAGCAATAATAAGTCAAATCTTCATTAAAGCGTATTCTCATTCTCATTATCGCTAATGTCCCCGCCATTATCATTATTGATATCCCCCTGAGTTGCTGACCGTCAAATTCGAAGTTGTATTGTTGTCTTAACAAGACTTTCATTTTGTCCGCTAATGGGGCTACTGCTCTGAAGGTCAGCCGGAGCTTAATTTCCTGCCCACCGCTTGGTATTGGGGAACGTCTTGGCTTTGCATCTTCAACTGCTCCAGTAATCAATCCACCGTGGACCACGAAAGTGGCACAGTTTACTCACTTCTAGCGGGATGTGGCCACAAGTTACTTTAACGGGAAAAACTCCCTCTTTCTTTAGTCTACACACTGCACACGAGAAGCGATCAATATTTACAGACATTATTATTAAGTTATTATAATATATATTATATATTATTATTATTCTTCTATAACATATAAATTGTTTTCTCCTCTACGATTCACTGATTCATGGGCAAGAGAAGTGAGAATCACGGTCCACCCTGAAATCTGATTTCTATAACCAAATTGTGATTTTTATAACGAAATTATGGTAGCAACCGCCTATAAAGTTACAGCCCTCCATCCACTGCTTCAAAAGTCTTCTCTAGCACATATGAGACTTCAGGTAAAATATGATGATCACCACCCCCTTGGAACCCCATAATCTGAGTTGGCGGGTTTTTTTATGACTGTTAAAATTTTTGACCGGGAAAAATATGGCGGAATCTTCCAAAACCCACCACTTTATCCCGGTTATAATATTCCCGAGTAAGGTATGTAATATGCGCCACGAGTTGGCACAACATTTTTTGTCTCTGATTTTGATAAATTTGGTACCAAAAGTTGCCTCTTACTGTGAATAATGAAAATTCACCGTATCATTATTATTATTATATAGCACGATAACGTCAAGCTGTATTAGTATGTGGTCCTCTTGTGCAAAGGACAAAAAATGGTTAACTTATTGCTTAAAATGCCTATAACTCCAAAAATATTGAATATTTTGAAATTATTCGTACTTTTTGTGGTTTTGTGTTTAGGCTTGTGTTTAAATTTAAACTTGGTGTGATCTTGCGGAATAGCAGTAATTAGCAGTACTGTTGCTTTAAGATATATTACAATTTTCACAAGAAAATTAATATACATTTCTTAGTAATATAACACAAAATAACTCAAATAAACTTCTTTTGATAAGTTTACAAATTCTTAACTATTTCAGCTGTTAAGGATGATTCACCAGAAGTCAAACTATCAGACGATGAAGATGAAGAAGATGATGAAGACATGAATGATGATGTTGTAGATGGTGACGAAGAGATGGAAGGTGGTTTAACCGATACAGACGAAGAAGATGAAAGTAAGGATGCAGGTCCTAAAGATGAGGAAAGGGAGTGTATTACCGAGACCAAGGAAAACGGAACTCAGGACGAAAAGTCAGAAAAAGCCGACCAGGAAAAATCGGAGGAAGTCAGTTCAGTGCAACCAAAGAAATTGAAACGGAAGAAAAAGAAAACTAAAAATTCCACTTAGATGTGTTAAGTTTTACGGGATTTGTCTGATTTATAATACACCTGGGATCTGTCTGATCTGTTTCATTTTCACCAGATTTTCTCGCTCTTTGTTCCCAAACATGATCAAGGTGGGGGCTTTGACTTTGAGACTTTGAGTTTTAAAACCTATAATTTATTATGTAATTTATTTGCTTTTATAGACCGTTTACGTTTTAGAAATAATTTGTTTTATTGTCTTTAAACCAGTTTTCATCTTAGAGCTGTAAATTAAAGAAAGGCTTTAAACCTGAAAGGAAGATTTTGTCATGATATTCTAAAAAGTTAGGTTAACCAAGTTTTGAGCTCATAATTTCGCGGTTAATGAGCACATCACTGTAATTGTAACGTTAAAATTTAACACAATAGTCTCATAAGTCATTATATTTGAACTTATATATATTTCAAACTCACCAAGTTACACAATAACATTCTGTGCTCTGCTGCTGCACTGTAGTTTCAACTATTTAGCGAGCTCGTCGGCCCTGCAATTATCACCGTATTTATCCCCATCTCACAAGTTCGAACCAATCATACCTAACAAGGCTGTGGAGCTCTCCATATTTGGTAAGGTGAGGGTATGTTATGCCATATAAGGTGGTTAACTTCTCCCAGAATAGTATAACTACTACAGCTGCTGATCCAGGGTGCTGTACAGCTGCTGGGGACTGGACACATCTAATGGGGCCTACATGTCACTTGGTGCAGTGCATGTTACCTCGTTGTATGGGTTACTTTAGGTACTAAGTTAGTTACTAAGTTACTAAGTTAGTAACGATTAACTAAGTAACGATATATTTATTAACCGGTACTAAAGTCATTATTTGTGAATATATCGGCTCAATAGTAAATTGAATAGTATAATTTTACTTTAATAGTAATGCCCAACTTTCTCCGCTTGTACACAAAATAATCCATGGTTGCCTGGCCTATTTGGACACGTTCATTTGAGTTTGAGGATATTGGTAAATATAAGTGACCCTATTAAAAGGCACAGTGTAGTTGACTTTGTCACACTATGAAATTACATAAACCCTTGATGGTTAGGATAATCGTCTCATCCTCTAGGCTAACTTTGTCACATAACGATATCTTAATCAGGTGATAAGATATCGCTTAAATACGGCCGGCACGGAAATGGTTACATTGTCACACTATAAACATGTGACGGAGTAAATATGGACCCCTTGCTGCCGTTTTGACCAAATTTTTGAGTGTCCAGTTGATTGGATGGGTACATATGACCATTACCTACATATTTGACGACTTTTTTCGTTAGATGGTGCACTCAGGTTTACTCTGTCACACATTTAAGAAAACATGTGAAGAATGTTTAGGGCACCCTGATAAGCAATGCTGAGTAGTGTAGGTTTATTTGATGGCCTGGAAGTGCTAGGAATTGTTATTATATCATATAGTCGTAAGGAATTAAAACACAGAAGGCACAAACAAATTTACTTTGTCACATAATCTTGATGATATCTGAACATGTGTGAAATTAAACAAATAATGATATACCAGCTTAAACCCCTTATATAACGTACTATGGATCAAACAACACTGCTAGTATCATGCACCAGTCACATGAATCATTATCAGGTGGTAATATGTTAACAGTGTCACAATTAAACTACCACAACATGGTCAAAATAGGGTAATTTCGTCACAAAAAAATTATTATAACTCTGTTAGCTCCTTGCTGGCAAAATAACTAGTTTATCGAAAATTTGTTGATGATTAAGTTACATAGTATTCTAATTATTCCTGTTTTTTCTTCTATATTAGTTACTCATATCTCTTTTACAGACTTTTTTACAAGGACATTGACAGTTGATACTCACATTAGGCATTCATTATTGCATCTAAATTATTTCACTTGCATTAGGTTTAGAAATTTATTCTCTGGTTAACAGATTTCAAATGTTTAATTAATTTGTAGTATGACAGTAAGGTATATAAGAAGTTATTTAATTTTGCTTGGGCTATTATATTGACTATTGAGGTTTAATGATGATATGGAATTTGAATTCTATATAAATTTACACTATGTGGTTGGGGCATTTTGCATAGTAAATATGGTTACTACTCCTATATATCATATTATTTGATTGGTATTCGATTTCTGATTATTTCTCTAGGAATATGATTATTATATCTCAATTTGGCTTTAGGTAGGGTGCCCCGCTAAAAGAACTGGATTCTTTCAGGAAGCATCCCGTGCACAGACCTTGGTCTACATATATATATTAAATTATTAACCATTCATTCTGTATGTGCACGAAAATTTATTTCAATCAATAGAGGTATAGTTCTTCAAAATAGGGGCAAGACATGTTTACTTTGTCACATCGCATCAGTTATTATAAGAGTTAGGTAATCGTCATCAGATTAAAAGATATTTTTCGTAGTTTGGATCGATTAATAAACCTGTAATAAAGCATCCTATGCCAATTTTAACGTGCACTATCTTGATATTGTTGGGGCAGGGAAAGTTAATTTTGTCACATTTTCAGTGTCATTGACAAATTAATCTAAAATTGTTAAAATTGAGCTCTGATGTTCTGGACAATATTCTTCCAATCCTTTCTGAAAGAATGTTGAATTCTAATAGTGTTATAGATCTTCAAAATAGGGGCAAGACATGTTTACTTTGTCACATCAGATATTATAAGAGTTAGGTAATCGTCATCACATTAACATATATTTTGTAGTTTGAATTTATTTATATAGGCAATAAAGCATCCTATGCCAATTTTAACACACTATCTTGATATTGTTGGGGCAGGGAAAGGTAATTTTGTCACATTTTTAGTGACTTTGACAAATTTAACCTAAAATTGTTAAACTTAAGAATGTTGAATTCTAATAGAAGTATAGAATATAGATCTTCAAAATAGGGGCAAGACATGTTCACTTTGTCACCTCAGTTATTATAAGAGACTATTTCATTCTATAATCATTGTTTTTAACCTATTTACTATTTCGCATAATTTTTTGTGACAATGTAAACATCAACTGATCTTAACTTGCATCAACTACATTGTCATCATATAAAGTTTTCCCGCCTTTCAAACCAAAATCAAATATAAATAATTCGCCCAAAATTTAAAATGTCATATATTGTGACAGAATTAACCTCATTTCCCAATAACCAAGTGCCTGTATTAGCTAACTATTCAAAACAATATATTTTAGGGCTATGATTGGTAGAGCAACCATCAAATAATGAGTTGAAAGGGTTTTTAGGACACCTCACAGTAGAATAGAGGTATGGTATCATTAGTGTGACAAAGTTACCCAAATATTGCCTTGTAACCGTTCGATCCGTGCCCATTAACCAATGTTGTATCATAATTGTAAGATTGACCTAATTTACTATATTTCAGACCAAGGAATGATAATTAGACAACTGCAGTTAACTAAGTCACACAAAATGTGACATTTGAAACATTATAGTGCCTAACAACAATAGATTTTCTTTCTGAGCGGTGCATATGGGAGTATGGGTTACGTGGCTAATGTTCAGAACTTCTGAACGTGCTAGGTTAATAGATGTCAAAATTAAGCCACTATCGTCGAAAACGCTATTATTTTTGTTTACCAATATCCTCAAACTCAAATGAACGTGTCCATTTAAGCAACTAGACATCTGTGAGCACATCCTCTTGCTACTTGCTCAGTTAGTTGTAGGTTTACAATTATGATAAGTAATTAATTACTAATTATATTTGTAATTGTAAACCGACCGTATCATCTGAAAATCAGCCAAATTTTCTCACAAGTTGGCTACATCTTGGTAATGTGTATTGTAACAAGGCCGTTCTGGCATAGGCCCCTAACCGTCCTTCTTCCGCTCTGGGAGATAAGATACGTCGAGCAAATCCAAGGTTGTAGAATATTTATTACCGTCACTGAGGCCCTTATGTTATTGTTAGTGTTACTGGTCACGTAGCCAGGGTGGTTAGGGTTCGTTCACAGCCGAGCGGGAGGGGGTTTCCAAATGATTACGCTAGTGTAATTTTTTGCGATTATTTCATTCATTAACCCGTTGTGATAGCTTTCAATAAATAAATGGAACATGTAATAGATCTATTACTATCTATAGTAATAAAATTGGGTCTTGATTACGGGGGGGGGGGGGGGGGGGCCGGGGGGTCAAACCTTGATTACGTAATATAGGGGGGGGGGGGGGGTTCGGTCTTGATTACGGTTGATTACGGAGGGGGGGGGGGGGGGTAAAAATTGTCAAAATATTGATTACGTAATATGTGAACGACCCCATATACTGAAATTATCATTCTATTCTAAGAACCTTTAAGAAATTTAATATTCCTAAACACTAAAGGTTCTTGGAATCGAATATTTCGAATATTCGATTCCAAGAATACCTGAATACCACTGACTATTGCTTTTGCATAAAACTTTTAGTTTGTTAATCCGTTGTTAATCACGCGTTATCCAGTGAAAAATAATGTATTCCCAAAAGAATATGCAATCATGCCTTGTGTTACGTTGAGACCTTAGCACAATTTTTTATTTTTAATAATATTCAGCGGCTAAGTTAATGATTTAAGTATTGAATTATAATTTACTTGTGATTATTTGGAGATCTGATACCACCATTTCTATTCTAATCAGAAGATTTTCATTAAATTAAAGCCACGTTTGATAGTGTTTAGTGCGCTCCACCAATTATAAACTAATTAGATTGAGATCTTATATCTTCCCATTCTAAACTATGAATATTTCGGTACACAATCTAATGGTTTTACTGTTTAGATAAGGATTGTTCAAATATTTCGTAAGCTAGCTTAGGGATTTCAGATTTGTAAAACTAACTTCTATTGCAATTTCTACACAATTGACAATATAATGTAAACTTATGCTTAAAGTGGGGAAGGGGATCTGAAATGGCCAAAAATAACTTTTGAAATAGCTTGTAATACGTATATGCGAACGATTCCTTATGGCTTTATAAATATAGCTACTGGACTAGATTGGCTAGCATATTTATCAGGAAGCATCGCTTCCAAACATCATGTCCACTGCGCGCATTATGCATTAACATAGAGTCTTTAACATTACCCATTTATAAGGCACCAGCAACCTGAACAATAGACCTACTACAATGTACATTTGTACATACTAACATGTTTTACTTCTAGTTGTATGACATAATGAGAATATGCTATCTTATATAATACTGATCGAGACTTTTACATCTGACAATATATCTAGTATCTGTTGAACTTGATAAATATCTTGTACTATTTCTGCTAGTGCTAGTTAAACCATCAAATGATTAGGGGACCGGACAATGGACATGTGAAATATTTCTGCAAAATTCTCAAAATGGTATAATCAACCTTACCATGTGGGCTCACACTCGCTGTTTGTACTGGTTGGTTTAGATTCTATACAATGAAATGCAGATCTAGATCTCCACTTTGGTAAATAGTCTGCAACAATGTATTGCGTCTTTAAACGTGAGTGTGCATTGGATTGTGCTGGTATTTGGAAGTGCAGCACAGACTAGACATAAATAAATTTGTTGGTAGCGCTTAAAACTTGTGTTGTATTCTTGTTTCAGTCTGATGTTCTGCACTTCGTTCTTTAAATCTATCTTCAAAGGTAGGGACCATGTTATAGTTGTTGAGAATGTGTGTTTGATCATTTCTTTAGTTGACCTTCGATCTTTTATAAAAAATCTTCTTACATATCTTCTCTTTTGCGATTCTTGATTACTGGCAGACTGCCAGCTGTACGTGTAACCAGCTCCGTTACCATTCTATACAATTAGAAGGCGTCTGAACCAGGAATACATTGAAACATAACCCAGTAATGTTTTTGTGAATTGTGTTTTTGCAACTGAAAGTACAAATGAACCTGGCAAAGATTCCTTTGAGTAGAAATATGAGTCCTGAACTTGCTGGCCTTCGAAAAACCGTACCGTACTTCCGGAGTTTCGTAGTCTGGCCCCGGTTTCCAAAATACATTTTCTCGGCGCTATGCAGGAAGAAAAATTGCTCGCTTCCTTTTCCTTCTGGTTTCGTCATTTCGTTAAAAGCTTATGTTGCGGTTTCCACTCTGTTGACGAGAAATATCATTTTATACCAGGTATTCATGAGAAATAGTGGTTAACTTAGAGGTCGTTCACATATTACGTAATCACTGAGGGGGTTTCTAAATGATTACGCTAGTGTAATCTTAACCCTAACAGAATGGATGTGAAGAATTGATTAAGGAGGGGGGGGTGGTAAGAATTGTCCAAAAAGTGATTACTTGGAATGTGAACGATCCCTTACTGACCTGTAATGAACTTACAGTAAACTTTATAAGTACTACTGGTGGGGAGGTGGGGTGGTTAAAATTAAATAGTTAGCTTCAAGCACCGACCAATGAAATTCATTTATCAATTTACGATCAAGATTGCTAGTTTGACTTATAAGCTTTAAATGAATTGTTATCTAATCTCTCTTTGTGTTTGTGAAAACGTAGTAAAACTTGGCAGCCTTACTTCTCACGTATCACAGCCTCTACTCTGAAACCTTATCCCTTCTATTCTTATCCTTATCAAGCTGTAACATACCTTGTACCTGTTGTTTTAAGTATTTTACCTATAACAGTGCAATACTGACTGAATATTTGATTGTCGTTATGTTTCCTTTGCTGCTTTTACTGACGGTCAGTTCCACACTAGGCTGTGATCTTAGTAGTAACACGGGCATTGGAATAATGGATTATTCGAGCATGGAGTGGTTGAACTCTATTATCTCATCTTGGTACTACGTTAACAACGACCAGGTCAGTTTCTTGTGAACAACACTTAACAACACTTTACAACACTTAACAACACTTAACAACACTTAACAACACTGTACTGAACAACACTTAACAACACTTAACAACACTTAACAACACTTAACAACACTTTACAACACTGAACAACACTGTACTGAACAACACTTAACAACACTTAACAACACTTTACAACACTGAACAACACTGTACAACACTGTACTGAACAACACTTAACAACACTTAACAACACTTAACAACACTTAACAACACTTTACAACACTGAACAACACTGTACTGAACAACACTTAACAACACTTAACAACACTTAACAACACTTTACAACACTGAACAACACTGTACTGAACAACACTTAACAACACTTAACAACACTTAACAACACTTTACAACACTGAACAACACTGTACTGAACAACACTTAACAACACTTAATAACACTTAACAACACTTAATAACACTTAACAACACTTAACAACACTTAATAACACTTAACAACACTTAAAAACACTTAATAACACTTAAAAACACTTAACAACACTTAACAACACTTAACAACACTTAACAACACTTAACAACACTGAACAACACTGTACAACACTTAACAACACTTAACAACAAAATATTTCGACATTCACCTTCGTCCTTCAATCGCACACCGCACTTAAGAAAAACCTCTTTATACAATAGAGCTATCTTTTTTTGAGCCACGTCAAAGGTGGCTGATCTAATCTTCCTCATTCCTCAATTATCGCATGTTTCTGATAATATTATCTTTGTCAGGTTCACGAGCTCGTAAAGACGGTTCTAGAGAAAGAACTGAACAATCTTACACCAGACATCATTGGTAATACGTTAGTCATTATACGCTCAACTTAACATTACCTTCATCTAAATTAATGTTTACTTTTCCATCGAATCTTTAAAAGGGATTTCGATATGTAATTTTTGGTTGAAATATTATGGTATTTACTACTTTTCTTTTCAGAAAAAATCTCTTTAGAAGAATGTACATTTGGATCAGACACTCCGCAAATAAAGGTTTGTTCTTTACTCAGAAACAAATTATCTGGCAGAGTAGTAGATAAGTGGAGATGTTTTCAAGGATGTAAAGTAAAATACCTTTTTAGATCCTCTACCCACGCCATCCCCAATCGCTAGCAATCTTTCACGTGGCTATTGAGTAGAAATAACACTATTTCTAAACCACTCCTTCTAAGCTTGATAACGTAATATGTGAAGTGTGCACGATCTCTAACACGATCTCTAACACGATCTCTAACACGATCTCTAACACGAACTATAACACGATCTCTAACATGATCTCTAACGCGATCTCTAACGCGATCTCTAATACGATCTCTAACACGCACTTAATAGGGTATAAAGACCAGGGTAGTAGAGATGCCTTGTTTGAAAGCTGGAAAACAACAGAAAGTTGTTATTGATCTGATCCTCTCAATTGACGCTCCAGACTTTGAGTTCAGACTGGCTGTCAAGGTGAGTGTTGTCGGTCATTAGATAATTAATTAGTTTAATAAAGTTACAAACTTGCCCTATGTGCGGCGACGAAAAAGAGACTGTATAACACTTTCTTGGACAGTGCCCGGCTATTGCCCAAATAAGAGGGCAATATTTCCGGGACTATAGCACCTCCAGCGTTCAATTAATGTCCGTTCAAATAGGGTCCGATAAAATAGTAATCAGCTACACACATATCTACGCATATGTAGGGAAACACACTAAAATTAATGGAAATATTTACCGGACTTTATTATTCACGGACCTTAATGCCACAGACATTATTATTACGGACATAATTATTCACGCTAAGGTCTTCAGCGTGAACGTTATGTCCGTGATAATTATGACCCATAACTCATAAGGTATTCTAATTAGTGATATCAAAACGTTTCAAACTTAGCTTTGTGTCCAGTAGAAGTTGGATTGTAGTACAAACTTTATGAAATATACTTCCATTTAAATTTATTCTGGTGTTAATTTGGTTGACAGATTTTAAAATGTACGCTGGTCATCCAAATGTTAAATTTGTAAAACGTTTCTATTTTGGCATTCACAATAAGTCAGTTAAATATGTATGGCATTATAAGACACAATTATACTAAAAGTTTGGTTCCGGCCTGAGAATGCATCACAAAAAAAGGATAAGGCAAAATGGAAAATTGATAATTTCAAGTTTCAAAATAGACTGTTTCCTGAACCGAAATTTCACAGATTTGACGGGACTTTTGTCCTGAGAGCAATTAGTCAGTTACCTATAAATGATATGAGACCCAATCGTGGTACTGGAAGCTAAATTCCGGACAGAGACAAGATAAAATTTCCTGGACCGAAATATCACAGATTTTCTAAATTTTTGTTTGGTGAACAATATGTTTATTAAGTCTTTAAGTATAACTAGGGAGGTAGAAAGCTAGAAATGAAACATCAAATTAGAGATTGTGATTTAAATCACTAAAATGTAAGTTAATACCGGCAAGAATTAGCACCTGATTTAAAAATAGGTTAAGTTAGAAAAAAGTCGAACGACACATTTTAATTTTAGATTAGTACACAAATAAATTTGAAAGAATTCGCTTGATTTGACATTTGATAATTAAAATATTTAATAAGTCAGTGTGGTAAGTACTTAACTTACATTGTCTCAGTAGCAAGGCTTTATGATAGTTCTTCGCAGTGGTCGATCTGATCGTCGTCCAGATCTTTTATCAGCTCGATTACCTTGTCGGTAATCGTCATCCCAAACAGTCGATCTGAATAAGAGGAGAAGTTAGAACACGTTCATAAATAAACGATGATAAATATTTGATTCAGCATATTGGTATAATGATCATTGATCATAGAGTTTTTGGTATCACAAGAATTTTTCGTACTGAACGTATCGTGTGCTGGTAAAGTATAATTATGAACTTCTGTCAAACATAATGAACAAATGTGTAATATGTATTTTACCGGTTACTTAGTATCAAATTCAAACATATTATAAAATAATTTTCTTTAAAAGATATACATTTCAATTGCGACACAATATGATAAAAACGTTGACTAATTAATGTGAATATTAATTGCATCTAGTCTTACTGCTAATGGAATCCCATGTCGAAGTGAGTTGTTGGTAGAGAGTGCGAGTGAAGGTTTTATTAAAGTACTCGGGCGAATAAAACATATCCCACTTTGTCAAATTCCCTTTCTTTAGCGCACATTTAGACTCCGTGAGATTCCTCAGTTCCAAATTTGTTTCTTGCAGGTCACTCCTCGTTTCATTCAACTCCCCTTCTGTTGCTACTAGTTCCTCCTGGGTTGAGTCGAAGCGTTCTTGTACCCCAACTAGTTCCTCCTGAACTTTGAGTAGATCTGTCCTCGTTTTGTTTAAGGATAGTTCCAGAGAACTCTTTTCTGCCACGGCCAATTCCAGCTTTTTCCCTAGTTCAACGAATGCAGGACATCTAGTGTCTGCGTCCAACACAGCACCAGTTCGGCTCAGTTTGAGAATATCTCCCCACTTTCTTATCCGGTACTCCTCCAACTGCTCAGGAATCTCTGCACAAAATCCAGCTGAAGACAGGGCAGCTACTTCTGTAGCCGTCAGTTCTTTAGAGTACATATTAAAGTTAAAAAGCATGCCTCCGAATTGGTGCCCGCTGCTGCCTGGTCCATAACTCCCCAAGGTTAATGCTCCGCCTGTCTGCAGCCTTCTCCCGGAAGGTGTTGTCTGGGTCCCTACTTGTTGCCCGTTCACGTACACTCGGAAGGTTCTAGAAGTAAGGCTCCAGGTTGAGCAGTACAAATACCAAGTATTGGCAGTGGGGGTGAACTTGCTGGTCAGTCTACCGTCCAGGGAGCTGGAACCGAACAGTCGGTTGTATTGCCCACTGTCTGTCATGAATAACTCGGAACCTTTATACGCAAACGGGCATGGGTTAATTCCAGAATGGAACTTGCGGATCCACACACAAACAGAAAACTTTTCTGTCAGTGAGTTAACGTTGGGACTGTAAGATATGTAAGTATTTCTATCATAAGCAAACTTAAGAGCTGTATCGCTCCTGGTGCCGCTGGCTGCGGTAGTAAACCCTGGACATACAACTAATGCCAATAACACGGAGAAGATAAAACGGAACATTTTAACTTCGCTGAGATATTAATCTACTAAATATTACTGGACTGATCTGGATAGCTAGTCAGATCCTTTCCTGTACTGGTCCATTATTCCTGGAACATTAAAAATATATTGTATAAGATATAGTCTATAGATTGAATATACTGTTTAGTATGAACAACAAAATGTTTGTGAGACGTCTAAACTCATAATTTGTTACTTTGTAAAAGAGTTCCATGATCATGAATCTGTCAGAGTCGATGACAATCAAGGAATTTTTTTTGTACTGCCTCAGTATGAACTACGACCATCTAAATTATGATAATTTCGAGCTAGTTAGCGACAACTATAGCGCTGGATGGCGCTAGCTGTCGCGTTTACACTATCGCAAAAGAACCCATTTTAGTTTCAAATCAATTTTATTAACAATAAAACTTTGGTAATTTCCGTTCCTTAATAATAATATTAGCACCTCGGTGAACTGAACTCTGTTGACCAACTGTTTAAATAAGTCGCATACTAATTTTTCTTGCCTACACCCGTCAGCATTTTATACGAAAAACTTACTAGTCGTACTGATCAACTCAAGGCGTACTCAAAACGAACAAATATTAGTTCAAAGTTTAGTACTAAATTATAAATGATATGGTTTATTAGGCATAACTGTGGTCAATTTACTACCGCCCTCATCAGATACAAATTTCAATCGTGGCAGTGCAATTGTTTCATATTGTAATTTGTAGCTCAAACTTGGCTCTCCTTCAAAGTTTTATCTATGTTGGTTTTGTACCCGTAAACTCTTAATAACTTTTACGTCTTTGTTTTTTGGAGTCAGTCGATACTTTCCCTCATCACATCATGTCCTAATACCACCTAGTCATAATAATAAAATAGTATATAGTACTATTATAATAGGGTACTATAATTAGTACTATTATAGGGTCACTAAGGTGGAGTTTGTTGGCATACCACCATTAATATTATTGTACATTAACTAATTATATCCATTCAATTGGTCTCGACGTGATGATCAGGGACAGTCTACACTTATAGTTATACTGATAGCTTCAAAAGTTTGAGCTGGAATATTGAACAATTGAACCATTGAATTGTGGGTATGGGAGCGTTCACATATTATGACGTCGGCAGCTGAGGGGAAGGGCAGGTTTGGAGATGCTGAACGGGGGGCCGGGGGGTCTGAGCCTTGCAGAAATGTAACGTGAATTTTGGCAACATTTTTTGGTTCAAATCAATTTTATTAACAATAAAACTTCGCAAATTTCCTTAATATTAGTACTTCGATGAACTTAACTCTGTTGACCAACTGTTCATATCAGTCGCATACTAATTTTTCCTGCCTACACCCGTCAGCATTTCTATACCCCCTCGCTGGCTGACGGGAGGGGGGTAAGTATTAAGTAAGGGGGTTAAGGATGCAAGGGGGTCTGGAGAATGCTGACGTCTTTAGGGGGGGGGGGGGGGGGTCACTCAATGTTGCACCTTTTTCAAACCACATTTTTTTAGCAAGAGCTGCTGGCAGGCTATAACATACATTTAAAACTGTAATATTTGAATCGTTTTTAAAACCGTGTTTGAAAATGATCTCCAATGCTAAATTGCTCAGCTAGGCCTTTTGCACGGCGAAATGTTCTCCATTAATACTCATCTGGAATTTGGACAGGATGCTGCTCTCGGCGGTCCTGTCATAATAAGTTTAAACTTTAAACTTTTTACAGGCATACATATATATAATATTAATATATATACATATATATTGTAAGTCAAACCTGCCCAAGCTAGAGAGCTATGGCAGGGTCAGCTCAGGAAAAGCCCGGACCAAAACACACTGAACCGACTAGGTATATAAAATAACAATATGTAACCAATAAAAAATATAATAAAGGTATATAGATAATCGTCGGCCGGGTGGTGTAGTGGTAACACGATCGCCTCCCAAGCAGAAGGCCCGGGTTCAAATTCGGTCGGATGCAAGTCGGCCAGTTACCAAGCTGTGATTTGGTACAGCTTTCGGGGGGGGGGCCTTCCACAGGCCGAAGAGTATGAAGTTCCTGTATGTTGGGAGTTCTCCTCTTCCTCTTTATTGGGGGAGGGCTAGGACTGATGCGGGCCTATCTTGACTTCTTTAGATCGGTATAATGGTTCATGTGGACGTTATGTCCTGTGTATTAATTAATGGGTTACGGGAATCTTTTATACAAATTGCAAGTCATTATTGCAAAACGACCTATGAGAGATAAGACCTTAGTGAATCTAGAAGGATCGGTGTGAGTGGTATTGGAACATCTCCCCCTATAGTCATCAGCATTAGCTGATAGAAAAACGGGGTCCGTCAGCTAGGCTAAAGTAACTGACTATTAGAGTCAGCCTGACTCTATGGTACTGGTTGCTAAGCACCGTGCTGGCGGCCAAGCAGAGAAAAGGTATGCTTTGAACCGCTTATTGTATCAGCTAAGGAGGTAAAAAGCAGTCTAGATACTTCGCAGTAACGGTAAATTAAAATATAAGTTAAATATCGGAAAAGCAAGGGTGTGGAATAAACCTATTTTAATGATGAAATTTTCGAACACGTTTTTCCTTGATAGTTCGTAGGCTTGGCATCTGGATAGGAAGTGTTCTGTAGAATTTATTTGCTCTTCGCATTTGTTGCAGATGTTGGTAGGTTCATTACTTACTGGGTGGCGCTCAGCCTGTCATTCTGCTAAATCTCTATTCAAATTCTCTATTCTATGATTACATTTTTTTTTTTGAACATTTAAAATATAATTTGGAACATTACAGTAACGTTATTCAAATCTCAAACAGAAAAAAGTATATTTCAAAGCTTTGTGTTTTGATCATATGATTATGGGTGTATAGTGATTTTGATTGCATAAATTTGATTGGGCAGTGATGGTGAGTGAGAAGATGATGGGAGTGCCAGCCAGTAACTCTGTCAAATGAACAGCCCACTGAGGAGTGGGTGAGCGCAAACGCGAGAACGGCAGAGAGGGTGGCATAAAACGGAATACACGGCCACAGAAAAGACACAGAAACTAAACCGTGCGCGGTAAGTTAGACAGTGTCTGAGAGCTAGTGTTGCCCGGCAGGAGGCCAAAAGAGGTGCCGTGGTGAACTGTGGAGGCAAAGTTCGAAAGCAAGGCGAAGCAACTCAAACTGATGATGAAGAGGTAGACTGAACGGGAAGTGAAGAAAAAGGAAAAGGAAGGATCCAGCTGAGGTCTGGCTCATGTCAGGAAGTGATGAAAAGCTCACAGACAAAATCATCCGTGGCTGTCTACCCCGTACGTAGGCAGTGTCCGAGATTTCAGGCATCAGGATACACTGAATCAGTGCAGAGCTGATTACGACCAGGGTCCTCACGGATACCCCGCCTCGGAGGTCGAGCCAATGCCCTGCTTTCGATACTTATGTCTACTGGTGGAACCTTCATATTTTCTCTACTAGCAGTCACTGTAACCCTATCACTCGGAAGGCCCCACAGCTCCTACATGGACGCACGGCCTGGAGCCCATGTAGGGATAAAAGTGAACGCAAGCCTTCCATCACATCCATCACAGATTCAAAGCTGGGAGGAAAAAAGGGAGGAGAGGAAAAAAGAAAAAAGAATACAAAAATAGAAAACTGAGAAAGGAAACTAATTATCTGCTTTCAGACTGTCTTTGAAGTTGAGGGTTAGTCTGTAGATCTTGTTAATGGTGCTGGTTGAGAGTTTGATCAAACTTACGTCCTCATCACTGGGAGTATCCTTGCAATCAGACTGCGACATGAACGTGGAGGCAAGATTGAAGCTACCATTACCAACATTGTTGAGTAGGTTTCCACTGTGATTTTGAAATTTGTCCCTAGGACCCTTCCCTAGGGGGCAGAAATGGAGCATATGATTCTCGTCCTCGATGAATAGCTGGTTGGTGTTAAGCTCGCAATAGTTGCAGGTCCTTTCATCAATTGGAGTTTGGTCATATCTCCCTCTTTCAATTCTAAGGTGATGCGAACTGGACCGAATCTGTGTGGTTGCCCTTCTGTCCTGAAAAGACCTAGCATAGGTTAGATATGGCTCCCATGCAAATTCTGTTTTGACTTCACTGTAGAATGATAGTTTTCTAGAATCTTTCACAAGAGAACCCCAGGAATCGCGGAACTGTTTTTTCAGGTTCTCTGTGATTAATTCAGGGCTGCAGGAGTCTGCGAGTGAGGTTGCGTTCAACAGCGACGATGAATTCCTTTCAAGAAGGTCGATGTTGTTGAATGATTTGATGATTGATTCGATGCCTACAAACCATGACAATTTGAGGTTAATTTGCTCAGTCATTGCAGCTTTGACTAGTTGTGTAGAGGGGAGGCTCATAACTCTTTTGAAATATTTAGTACTCAGTTTCAACATTTCAATAATGATTGGGTATGAGCCAGTTTCTCCCCAGGCTGTAGCATTGACTGCTCTTCTGTTTATACCAAGAAGGTATTTTAGGTGTCGTAGATGCACTTGCTCAAGTTGCTGTTTAGCGATGTGAGAGACCGCATGATCAAGATTGTGAAACTTGCTGAAGCTAGAGAGGACCTTATTGACGGTGGGTAGAACCGGGGCCCAAACTTGACAGCCGTAAAGTAGAATTGGCTTAACAAGGGTGTTAAATAATTTGTTAAGGCAGGATGCATCAACGAATCTCCGGTCTATAGTGCTTCTCAAGCTGAAGTAAGCTCCAAGTCCTTTACGGTATAGAGAGTCAGTTGCTTGCCGAAATTTCCCTGTGCTGCTTATAATAATCCCAAGATAGCAGTAGCTGGAGACCATCTCGATATCTCTTTCGTGAATGGAAGGACGCCAATTTGGAATGTCTGGTCCTTTGCCATTGAAGACCATGAATTTGGTTTTGGAGATATTGATTTCCAGACCCCATTCGTTACAGTAGTCCCCAATAATCGTAAGCAACTTTTGGAGAGACTCAGGATCTAGGCCGAGGATTACTAGATCATCAGCCCACGCTAGGTGAGTCACTGAAAGTCCAGCGAGTGTCGGACAGTTTGCAGTAGCTTCGTTAAGGAGGTCAGAAAGCTTTTTAAAGTAAACTTTGAAAAACTCAGGGCTAAGTGGGTGTCCTTGTTCAGTTCCTTTAAGGATCTTGAATGCTTCACTTATTTTGCCATTCATCTTGATATGACCTTCTGATTTGCTGTACATGTCTTTGATGATGTCGTAGTAGCCACCATTGACACCATAGCACGCTAGTTTGAACATGAGAGCTTGTCTGCAGACAAGATCGAAAGCTTTGCGAAGATCAATGAACACTGCATATATTTTACTTTTGACTTTCTTGTATTTTTCTATAGTGGACATCAGCGTAAATATATGGTCATTGCATTGACTTCCTTTGGTAAAGCCTGCTTGGTTGGGTGGATCAGGATGTGAGATTTGGCGGTGATTAACGAGCCGAGATAGCAGCATCGTAGAGAGCAGTTTTCCGATACAGCTACAGACAGCTATCGCTCTATAGTTGTCAGGGTTCCTGATGCACCCTTTTTTGTGAATTGGTGTGATCACACTTTTGCTCCAGAGGTAGACTCCTGTCTCCAGGCACAAATTGAAGAGTTTGAGGAGGAGCGACTTCATATTCATGCTCAGACCCCGGAGCATTTCGTTGCTGATGTGGTCAAAAGAAGATGCTTTGCCCGATTTGAGTTCGCCTAGCGCAGCGTTCAGCTCATCCGATGTAAATGGGCTGTTCAGTGACTCATTAGGGGCAGATCCCTCGGATAGGGCGTTGGCTTCTTCGAGGAGAGCTCTTTTAGTGAGAGAGTCTACGGTTGGATGATTGTCAGAATATAGCTCAGAGTAGAACTGATGGAAAGAGTTGAGTTGCTCCGTTTCAGTTTGGACTTCTTCCTTCTTGTAGTTCTTAAGCTTCTTGAAATCTCTCCAGGATATAGTTTTACCGTTTTTAATCTTCTTGTTAAGACTATTGAAGAAGTCATCCCTTTTCTTATTGACAATCTTTCGATATCCTTTAGAGTTGGCACGATGCCGTGTTTTGATTCTCTGGTTATCAGGATTATTGTCGACAATTTTTTATTGACCGTTTGAAAAGGCGTCGTGCAGTGTGACACTTGCCGTCAAACCATGAGGCGAACTTAGGTTTTGGATTCTTAGTTTGTTTAGAGATATCGAACTCTTTTTTAGCGACATCGTTTATGAGTTCTGTAATCTGCCTATTCAGTGCTTCAACTGCCTCATGGGTTTTTGGAGTGGATTCGACATCTTTGGTCAGTTGGGAGATTCTTTGAATGAACTCAGGCTGTTCAAATGATTTTGTGAAGTTGGCTAAACCCTCTTCTGTGATCTTGTATCGAAAGGGAGCTTCCTCGTAGATACTGGTGGGAGCTTGACTATTCCTTTGAGGGGCCCTTCGTCTATGCCAAAGGCTGAGTAAGATTGGATTGTGATCGGAGAACAGAGTGTGCTCACCCACTGAGAGGCTCTTGACACGGTGAAGAAAGGATGTTGATGCAATGAAGTAGTCCACTACGCTGTTTCCGTTCCACTTGTAGCATGTGTATTTTCCAGCAGAGTCACCGATGGTACGTCCATTAAGGATCAGGAGGTTTTGTGATCCACAGAGGTCAAGCAAAAGGTTTTTGTGTCTATTGGTAATTTTGTCCTGGCTGTTCCTATTTTGAGATATAGGTGCCACGTCAGGTATAACCATGAAGTCGGAAGACCTGCCAGTTTCTGGAAAGAGCTCGAATTCGTCCGCTCTGTCATACATATGAAAATCTGGAGCTACTCCTATCCTGGCATTAAGGTCACCAAGAAGTAATAGCTCATCACTGGGGTTATTCTTGATGCTGGCTATTTTTTCCTGAAGGGCATCAAAGTTTGCCTCGGAGCAGTTAGTGCGGTTTTTCTGTTTGCTATTTGTAGGTGGGATGTAGCTATTGACAACAAAGGTGTTGAGATTGCTGTCGGGATCAGTGATTTTAACAATGACAATATTCATTGTATGGTCCGCAGTGAGTGTGCATTTATCCAGAGAGCAATATTCCACAATTGTGTTCCTAACCAAAGTGGTTACTCCTCCTCCTTTACCTGATTTGCGGATGTCACTATAGGATTTGTATCCTTTCAGGGAAACTTCGCATCCGGTTTCTCGGAGGCAGATTATATCATTTGGACTGATGATTTTGACAAATTCGGGATCCTCAACTTTGTTTCCGAGCAAGCCATGAATGTTTGCCACATTCCAGGAAATTATACCGTTAACGATGTTCATCAGTCAGGTATAGAAGATGAGAGAGGCAAGAGGAGAGGAGGAAAGAAGAAGAGAACTCGGAAGACTTGGAGGAGCTGAGAATGAGAGACTAGAATTCAAGTACGGTCCCTGCTAAATGTACTATTGAGACTTGTCTTGAAGTTTCCCATGATTACTCTGATACCTCTGTCATTTAGATGAGGTTGATCTGGGACAAACAGATAGTCGTGTGGGATATCCGATCCCCCCGGGTAGAAGTTGTTGTTTCTGTTTTCTCTTGATCTCATCCAGAAATCAGCCTTTTCACTGTCATCTTTAAGATTTCTGATTGCCTCTGTGATGAGTCGACTATTTTTACCCCATTCCTCTCCAGGATGGTCGCGCAGAAAGGGGTGAGAGATGAATATTTGGCAGTGTTGTGAGGTCTGTCTAAGGATCTTTTCAGTAGACTTGATTAATGATCCCACCACAATATCAGCCTTGTTGCCTTCCAGGATGTCCCGAGTACCAAGGTGAATGTACACTGCATCTGGATTGAGGTTTGAGATCTCTTCTACTGTTCGTTCGAGGCACGAGTCAAGTTCTTTCAAACTTGGCCTGTATATTACAGAGACATTGTACCTCTTTGGAAACTCGTCAGGTTTAAAGCTTCGCATGGTCGAGTCACAGAGGAGAACAATTTTCTGTTGGCGCTGTACTGGGTTACTCGCTCTTTTGGATCTCCCTGTGCTGCGAGGAGTTGTTGCACTTTCTTTTGTGATTATCTTGCCTTTTTGTCTGGGTTCTAAGTCTTCTCTCCTGTAGGAAGACCGTCCCTGATTAGGTGACAGCCCGGGGATGTCACTGTTAGTCCGTGTGTCAGCTGGTGACCTGGGGATATGTCTCACATAGCTTTGGCTAACATTTGGAGCTGGGTCTGCCTGGTTGTTTCTGAAATTTGAGGCAGAGATGATTTCATGGATTTCATTGATTTTTTCATTCTCTTCCCTTTTGAAGACACTCTGACTCCAAACTTCCAGATCTTTCTTTACAGACATAGTATCTTTGAGGGTTTGTGTGAGCCCTTTCAGACCTATTTCAGATTTCTCCAGGAGCATGCTGGTGTCTTGGGTAGCTTTTGACAGATTTTTCAGTAGATCTGCGCCACTTGAGCATTTTGTTGCTACCTGGCAGCTCCCGGTTGATTTGGTTGCAGGGGTCATCTCAGTTATCGTGAGTTTTAGCTCTTTAATCTCGGTTTTTATTTCGGTAAGAATAGAGCTGATTGACACATTAGACCTTTCCATCACTTCCAGTCTATTCTGCACATCACTGAGTTGCTCAGATGTAGCAGCGGAGAGATTATTAGGGTTCTTCAGGTGTTGAGTGATTCTCTTTTTCCTGATTTTTGAGCTTCCTTCACTACTCAGTTTGAGGAATCCGAGTTCCTTTGTGAGTTCGTTTTCTGTAACTGATTCGAGTGATTTGATGTAAGTTTCAAGTCCTTGAAAACTTAGTCCAGAGGTGGTGTCAGCTAGTCCTCTTTTCCTCTTTGTTTTGGACTTCTGCTGGGTAGAGGAGTTTTTGTCCAGCTGCGATCTTAGGAAGTCCTTAGCGTTGGGCAGTGAGCTAGTAAAACAGAATTCGTTAGGAGACACAGCGATGTTTGGAACTGGGGCAGTTTCGGAGAGTGGTGGTTCAGGGGAGTAAGAGAAGAGATCTCCACTTGTGTCCCGTGACTGTTCGGTGTCCCTAGTTAGGTATCTACCTAGTCTCTGTCTTAATAGAGCTACAGCACCATTGTTTTCCTGGTTGCATGCAGCAAGCTCCTCCTTCGCGTCTTTCAGTTTCATCTTAGTTAATATCACACTTACAGCAGCATAGCTGGGGGGTGAGTAAGGGTCTGCTAAGAGAGTTTCTGTTCTAGTTTTCATATCATTCAGAGAGTCGCTACTAGATGTGGGTTGATCCATGGCATCCAGTATCAGAGTAAAGTCAGCTAGGGTAAGCTTATCCAATATTTGTTGGTATATATGTACTTGGCCCATTCTGAAGCTTAGAGTATTACAGAATCTGGATGCTCTGATGCTCTCATTGGGAATGTCTTCACTGTCCCATGACAACGTGCCGTTAGGGTCTATTTTTGAGCGAAAGAAGACAAGTCTGAAAGAAGTTCTTGCATCGGTTCTTTTAGAGTTATCAAGTCCAACCCCTGACCGGACCTGGTGACGTTTGAGTGCATATGAACATCTTACTATATATAAAGCGAGACGATATATATATGTGTATATATCCGTGCCATTTTACTGACACCACGGCATCAACTTTAACGCGACTTTCCGCAAAAACCGTAAAACATATACAACTGAAACTTTTTTGACTGGGTCAAATGCTTTAATGGCCTTCAAATCAGCATGAAAAAATAAAAAATTGGCCAAGGAATAATAATTTTAGTGCCCAAAATTTGGACTCTCAAGTGGTGTCAAAAACGCGAATTAAATAGATAATAATTATTTTAGTCTCTCGAGTCTTGACACCACTTTAGGGTTAAACGGGTTCCTGCTAGTAAATATAATAGCCTGGGGTCCCCAGGTTAATTCATTACATATCTTGTATTTGGAAGTATATCTGAATTATGTCTTGATCGAGTGATCTTGGCTCTGGGTTCCTCTTTGTGGGGGCCAGGGGGCTGCTGAGTGGCGTCTTCTCTCTAGGAGGTTTGGACGCTTCCGACGGTGTCATGGTGGTGTTCACTTCCAGGTTATGAACATTTGAGTCCCATATCAGCATATGGTGAAACTGAATCTCTCTAGAATTTATAATTCTGTAAGGTTGGCATTAATACATTAATGTTATTAATTATTTCAATCAAGTCAGCTTTAATTTGGTGTACGTCTTCGTCCGGACGACACACTCCTGTTAGACCTTCAATACTTACCATCATCCTAGATTACACATTCTGATTCCACCAGCATCCTCCCATAGGACTGACATACCCAGAGGTAGGCAAAGCGTCCACATGCTATCCTTTCGTGGGCCACCCAGGCACAGCCTCTCCACAAAAAAACTTAGAAAATTAAAAATTAAATCTACCCGTAGTAGTGGATCTAGTATTAAATGGATTTAGTAGTGAATTTAGTATTAGTGGATTTACTAAATAATCTAGTATAAGTGAATCTAGTATTAATTCTACTCGTATAGTTCTAGTATTAATTCTACTCGTAGTAGTGGATTTTCAATCATCTCCCTGAGTAATAGTAGTTATAATTTGTATTTTCAGGTGCCCATGTTAACGCTAAGAGCTGCTGTACAGAAACTGAGTTTTATGGGGAATCTGAGAATCACTGTACTCTTCTCTGACCAAGTGTCATTCCCAGGGATTCAGAACCTTTGTATCACATTTACTGATAGGTTAGATGTTGCTAAAAGATATTTATATCACTAGTATTCAATGTCCATTCAAAATATCATTTTTAAACTATCACTAATATTATTATTCATATTTACCAGATGATTTAAGAATTAACTCTTATATTTCCTTTCATATCAGGCCAGAGCTTGGATTTAATGTGGAATTACTGGATGCGATAGATATCGACGCTTTTGGAATTGACAAATTAATATCGGACGTTATTGAGGATGTTCTGTCTAAACGTGAGCTGCCTTCTCAACTATTTATAATCATATGAAAAACATATCAGTTAGTCATAGTAATAGATAAGATGAATCACTAATATTTTGAGGAGAAGAAAATACGAACCTAAATAATAATCAGGACTGAATAATTAATCTCTCAGAGCTTAATAATAATCAGGACTGAATAATTAATCTCTCAGAGCTTAATAATAATAATAACCAGAACTGAATAAGTAATCTCTCAGAGCTAAATAATAACCAGGACTGAATAAGTAATCTCTCAGAGCTTAATAATAATCAGGACTGAATAATTAACCTCTAAGAGCTTAATAATAATCAGGACTAAATAGTTAATCCCTCAGAGCTTAATAATAATCAGGACTGAATAAGTAATCTCTCAGAGCTGGTTTACCCTGGTAGACTATACGTGGACGTGTCTAAAGTGGGTGCGAGGGGAGGGGTGGACGTGGTCATGATGCCCAGGATGTCGGACCAGCACCCTGGTGTTGTTACCACCAAGGTCCAAGTCAGCAGAATCACTAGAACTACAGGTTAGTCAGCAGAATCACTAGAACTACAGGTTATACTCCTTCTTGGTTACATTGTCTGATGGTTATTCTTCGCTTTTGTACTTCTGTTGCTACTCATGAATTCTGAGCAAACTTTGGCCCTTTTTTTGTTCGTGACACTTTCTAATCATTGCAAATAAAAGCCCTTGGAAATTAATCAAGCGAAACTATTAATACGGAACACCCCTCAGAAACAACGGATATAGAGATATCCGCTAAACTTGGCAATGAGGAGGAGAAGAAGTCGATTGAACTGATGATTGACGATCAGATTATGAACCACAACTTCCTCATCAGCGACTTTGATGCACAGGATGTGAGTTAAACTGAATAATAACCTTCTTCTTCGCAGTCTTCCTCACGTTAGGTTAACTTCACCCTCACGTGACGTCACATTCTCCCCCACATGACGTCACACTATCCAACACGTGACTTTATTCTTACCGCCCTACTATCCTAATGTGTTTACCCTCAGCTGCTAGTGAAAGCCTGGGAGAGTCGTCTGATATTCAAGGACATACAGTACGGTTCCGTTAAAGTGGACCTGGCTGACATGGAGTTCACACTGCCCAGTGTCACAGAAACTTTCTCTAACGAGGATAAGAATGTAAAGGTGACCGTGGAGGTGAAAGCGTATCTGTTACCACTGATAGCACTGGTTCAGAAGGGGGTCCAAGTTGAGGACTATCAGACCAAGTTTAATGTAGGATGCTCGGCACCTCCTGATCTTAACACTGGTAAAAATTTAGTGAACTCATATTCATGGGTTCACTACATGAATATGAGTTGCAATGCATCTGGTACACCCCACTTGCAAACAATCGTACCTTTTTAAGCTCATTAATATTCTCTTAAACTCTCTAATCTCATACACCACAGGGGTGCTGTATGTACATATTCACCGGGCAGCTGGTATTCCTAAAACTGACGACAATTCAAAAGCAGATCCTTTTGTAACCGTGTACTACAATGGCAAAGAGGTTATAAAATGTATTATATGATTATTTTACTGATTACTATGAACGTAATTAATGAAATAGAATAAACTTTTACTTCTCCTCCATGAACTTTTACTTCCCCTGAAAATTCCTACCAAGCTATCTGAATTTAGATAAATAATGATTAACACTGTTCCCAGATATTTAAAACTAAGGAAGTGTCTAACTCGGACTCCCCGATATTTAACGAATGGACTGAGCTACTGACTGAGTCGTTTGTCGGATCTGAACTGACTTACAAGTTGGACGATAACGATGTTTGGCCAAACAGTAACGATCCTATCGGAGCTACTTCCATGAAACTTACCAAGGTTAATAATAACACATACTGATAACACATACTGATAACACATACTGATAACACATACTGATAACACATACTGATAACACATACTGATAACACATACTGATAACACATACTGATAACACATACTGATAACACATACTTTAAAATTCAAATCTCATACTTCTTAAAAAATTAAACATTTATTTTTAATTTAATTTAAATTCGCTAACTTCAGGAGGATGTAAGAAAGGTGAACACAGCACTTAAACTGGATACGCAGAGAAAAGACGCAACAGAAGACATTTTGCTTTATGTCTCAGTGGTTTTCCGTCCTGTTCCTCTTGTTTAACTTTAGTTAAACTTCTATTATTTTCAGATCTTCAGACTTTTCAGCTAAATTATCAATAAGTTAAACGGTCGTATTGTCGTCAAGTTTTATTAATTTTTCCAAATTTAGTCATGAAATAAGTTCAGATTTCTTTTGTCGCAGCAACATATTACACTTTTCTTTATTTTCCTTGCTTTTCGACTATGAACTGTTTTATTTTCCTATGATTGTGATTGGTATCTCCATTCGACTTCGCGTGATCAGATTAATTCGTCGCAGTGTACCTTATCTTACATTTAATTAGTTACTTAAGCTTCAGTACAACTCAAACTTTAATTTTAAAATGTAATTAAACTGTTGTTTCTTTTTCTTATTTAAAATGTTTTATCTTTTCTGTAACTTGTACTCTTGTAGTTGAGGGGTTATCATTGCATGTATTATTGATAGTTAACGAAATAACTTTTCCGCTTGAATAATGAATCTTTGGTATTTAAAGTTTTAATGCAATTAATTTGATTTTATTGCGAATTTTTGATTGAATTCGATTTTGATATATATGTTAGAATGTTCAGCAAAATGTGAAAGACTATGATATGTTGAGTCCGTACACAAATAAAAATCTGTTATCAATCTTGTTAGAGTGTAAAGTAACAGAATTAAATGATTTAAATTTTCTTGCATAAAAAAGTTTCGCTATTAAAATTGTTCTAATTATTTGAATAGTGAAGAAGAGTTTAAATTGTTATCAGTTATTTTCTTAAATCATGCATGGTTTTAACTTTCCACTGTAGGAATAATATTTTGAACCCAAATGATTATGTTCAACATTTAAAAATATTTATCGATGTAATCACGTGGAAAATATAAAGACGTTCAAATGTAAGTTAAAACTATTGCCAAAGATATTTAATTAAATATTCATAACAATATCAGCAAAAAACGATTGCAAAGTTGCATTGAAACCAATTGCGTTAACCAAAAAATGTTCCACACAACGTTTAAATCATCAGAATTGATAATTAATGTTTATCTTCACACATTGCATTTTTAACTATTCAAGAAGTGAAGTGATTGCATCAGCTCTCTCCAAAGCCCCCAACATCCTCACAGCTTTTTCTCGTCGCTCTTCAACTAGCATGTCTTCTTTCATCAGATCGTCCACTCTGAATTATTAAAATTTTACTCTCGCGTTTAAAGAATTTTTATTCTCTATACTATGTTATAAGTAATATAAGTATTGATTTTTAGCTAGAAAATCTATTAGAAATAATGATGCCCTTAATTACAATAACCTGTCAGAAGAAAAGAGAGTCTTCATAAGATCCTTGTGGAGATCGTCACAGAACTGCAACACCATATAGCAGATAACAGTCTTTGGGACAACGTCCATTAACTGGTTCCTGAATAATAAGAGCTAATTGAATAGTAAGAGCTAACTGTAGAGCATATACTCATACTGATTACTGAACAACGCTAGCCATTAGTGCGCTCATAAAAAAGTTACCTCGGTTAGAATTTGTTCAGATAAACCCCGCCAGACAGTGAAAAACAGAAACTAAAGAACACTTTACCTTATGATGTGGATGTAAAGATCCAGAAGAGCTTTTATCTTCTTGGTGCTGATCTGTTCTGGAGTGAGAACCTCACTTCCCTCACTCATCTCCAAACAGCTCTTCTCCAGCTGCGGTCTGTTCTTGATGAAGAGACGGTGGTTAGTGTTGATGTAGCACAACTCACACTGGATGTAGCTGTCAATGAACTTCTCCACGACTTGGGTCTTTGCCAGCAGCAGGGTCAGTGATATTTGGTGGGTTTCTCGTTTTAGGACCGGGAATCTTTCGAATGTTTTCTTACTTAGAAGGGAGATGATTTCTGTGAGGGTCTCGTTGCACTTTTTAATGGATTTCTTGATGGGGTAGGTGAAGTGCTCCAGCTGTCTAGAAGCCAAGTTATCAAACACAATGTTAGGGGTGAAGAGAGCGGGTTTGGAGCCGCCCGCGCTGATAATCTCATGTTCTATATGGTCCTCTATATCCTCAGGGAGAGCGATCTTATCCAGTTCTTGACAAATAGCGGACTCGAACACCTCAAACAGGTGCCTCCCCCCTGACAGGGCTTTCTGAGCTGCAGCGAACTGTACCGACCTTCTTCCCTCCATGTTGCTCCGGAACTCTCTGCAGAATTTCATCACTAAATCTGCAAGTGCACCCGACTCGTCTTCTATCCTGGGACCTAATTGATAATTAGTATTATTATCTTTAATATCAAACATTGCAATAGAAACAATTTTGAGCTGTTTTTAAGTGTAGAAACTATACCTTTCAAACACAAATAAGTTTACCTATATTTATAAAAGAAAGAATCTATTTATAGATTCCAGATCATTTTAATTTCTGCCAAGCGTAATGCGTATCTGTTATTACAGTATTATTTTAGGTTCTAACCTAAAGAATCCAGAATGTTCTGCTGAATGACCTTCTGTTCGGTTATCCTGATGATAAGCTCGGGGAGGCACTGCTTAACGTGCTGCATAAGAACACTGCACAGCCTCTGTGTAAGGTACGGAGTTCCCATCTCACTACTCATATAGTTAAAGTGTGTCTTGAAGAACTCCGCCTCTCTTGAAAATGACTCCTCTATAGGCATATCCGCGTTTATCTCAGCTTGAGTCCGGTTGATGACGCCGACTATTCCGAGCTTTATTGGAATAACTTTCCCTTCAAGAACCCTGCTATTTTCTGCGCTCTTTTCCATCAGATCTACTTTGGTAATCACCGCCAAGGTCCTGTCGCCTTGAGGATCGACCTGAAGACGTTTTGTGGATCAATCCTTATGATTTAGTTAGAACATATCTAATATCAGCACCCTAATAACCTTAAGCAACCTAAAAACCTTAAGCCTACAAGTGCCAATCTAAAATAACGTTTAATTGTGGCTAATGGCTCACCTCCTTAGCCAGCTTGATGGACTCCGAGTTAGCTATGTCGATATTTCCAGGCGACACAGCCAGGATGATACAGTTAGGGTTCTCAATGTACTTTCTGACTAGTGCAGTGGTCTGCTGCTCAATGTCCCGGGGCTGGTCCCCGACTGCGTTCTTAGTGATCCCCGGCAGATCCACCAGGGACAGTGTGGGCAGGTCAGCTGAGTGGATCCTCAGAGTGATGGGCTCGCTGTTGATGTTCTTGTCGTTCCCACACACTCTCTCTGTATCTCGGATTATTTCTTCGCTGATAAGGTTGAAGTCTTCGAATTTCTTTTCAGGGCAGTGGAGGAAGGAGCCCCAGGGTTGTATGGCGTCGATGTCTTGGTTTATTTGCATGATGAGTGGTCGTCTTGTCACTATCCCTGGGAAACAAATTGTTGATTACCACTGTAAATGATTTTAAAAATTATTATAGAAATAAGCACTAATTAATCACTATAATCAATTAACTAATAAATTGCTACAATTAAAAATTTAATGAGTAATTACCAGTCCCGCGAGGTAAGAAGTTCTTCTGGACAATGCTCTCCAACACAGAGCTCTTGCCAGTACTCTGGGACCCGACCACAACTATCTGGGGCAAGGATATAATGTCCGGGGAGACGCCCACTGTGCTGAAAACGTCCTGCAGATCATTTATTATCTGCAGAAATCCGTCCATCTGGGGTAAACAGAGTAAATCATATTAGTGATTCGTTTGAGGTTAGTGGTCAGGTTAAACTGATGAAGCAAACCGAAACTATCGTGAATAAGATAACCGAAAGAAGTGTATATTGGCTTTTTCTTAACAATATGAATTTCACAGTTTGAATCATTTGGCGTCAGGCGTGTGGCTTTCAAAATCGCGTGAAATTAGTGAAATTAGTGAACTGTGAAGGCCATATACTATTTGATATTTATCAAATAAGGCATATACTGTTTATCAAATAAGGCCATATTATTATACTGTTTATCAAATAATTATAAAGATCATATACCGTTTATCAAATAATAATGAACACTGATTTCTTCGCATTCGAAAATAAAATGTACCAGCCAAATAACGTAAATTTAACAATATGACTGCGTAAAAATGCATTTGCTGCAAATTTGCCTGAAATTTTCCAAAGAAATGGTTAGAACAAAAACTATTTTCCTTAGAACGTAAAAGTTCCTAAATATTTTTTTTTCTAACATCGAGGACAAAAACGGATTTTGTCTTACTCCGTCTCAAACAAAACTTTGAGTATTGATTGATGGATACATTGTTTTACCAAAAATGTTGGTAAAGCTCAAGATCTCTTGCAAAAAATCAAGATCAGCTTACAAAAAAAAGCAATAATGTTAAAAGATTACAAAATTATTGCAAGTAAGGATGCAAGAGGAACAAAAATGACGCCCTTTTTCTAGTTGTATTGTTCTAGTTGTAAATTATAGTTGTATCACAGCAGACGCTAGATTTCTATTCGCTGTAAGATTTGACAAATACCGTCAAAACAACTGCTATTCGCAAAAAACTTAATGGCATTTTAAGCCTAAAATCCTAAATCGTTCAATTTGATCCATTTTTACACACGTGCATTCTGCAATCTGCAAGAGACTTACGTGCAGGCCGATTTAATTGCGCTTCCCGGTGAATTTTCATTATCATTATTATAACGCCTTCAGATACGACAGCTATTGACATCGAATTTAGCAAGAATGGAGACATAAAATAAACTGCCAACAGTTGCCGCTTACTACATTTATAAACTAATGATACCATGCTCATTGTTCAGGATCCACTGAGATACTTTTTGATAAATGTTTATTAATTCATTTGTAATTCTGTTGAGCAACTGTTTTATTAAGTCAAGTGAGCCCCATCGGCTCACCAACCCAGAGGAGTCTAAAATGGTCGTCGTGATATTTGGCATAGTACATTCTTAATGCGAACTCAGAAGCGGGGAACCTTATTAATATTATGAGCCGAAAATTTTTTTTCCGGACCTACACTTTGAGATACGATATTGGAATCAAGACTTCCCATTGCGATATAATCTCGGAAGGCACTAAGCAGGCCTCCACTTTGCACCGTGAGGGGAGTCTTAGCAAATGCTGACGGTAATTGGGGGTTGCGTCGCTTAATACTAACAGTTGCTGACGGCCGAGGGGGAGGGGGTAAAAATTGCCAAAAAACTTGCTTGCGTAATATGTGAACGCTCCCACGGGTCCCTTATTAGATTAACTAAAGTTAGAATCGACGATTTCTTGTTTGAATACGTAAATAATATACTTCACAGTTATAATGTCTGCACAATCTTCAAAAATACATTGCACTGACCCCCACTTGTGAAACCTAATAGTGCAAATATGTAAAATAATTATATCTTCATAAACATTTGATGAAGCGATCGTCTCTAAAACCTAAAAATTCAAACCAACTGGCTGCTCGAACTTGGAAAAGCATCTGCAAGTAAACATCTTTAAGTAGTGACTGTGGGATTGTAGGAACTAGGAGTTAACGCCCTACGTCCCTACGAGTGGAAAATCACTTAGTAATGACATGATAATGGTTACTCGAAATCTCCTTTATAGCTGCAATAAACAGTTTTACTTTCGTATTGATGTAATGGAGCTACGGGCAGGTATTTACTCACAAACATGTTTCAACATTCCTCGTCCATCGTTAGAGCTTCATGTTAATTTCTTGGCTTTGCACGTGTCTTAACAAAATATTGTACGGAATATTGTAAGTTACTATTTCTATATTACACCTATGTAGAAGGAATGACTGGAATGATATCACACTGCTACCTTCCATACCATAACATATCCTAAGAAGTGGTTCACAGTAATATTACGGTAACTTATGGTCGGGGTCGGGGTCAGGGTCAGGGTCAGGGTCAGGGTCAGGGTCAGGGTCAGGGTCAGGGTCAGGGTCAGGGTCAGGGTCAGGGTCAGGGTCAGGGTCAGGGTCAGGGTCAGGGTCAGGGTCAGGGTCAGCACCTCAATCGTGTCATATGCCATCTATAGTTGACTGACCAATTTTTTTCGGGTGTGAAAATCAGTCAGACTGTAAAATTTCGGTCCTGGAAATATCATCTTCAAAATCTGAAAATGGGACAGAGACTGGGACAGTATGATTTTTCAATTTTATTCGAGATTTTGACTTCCAGTACCTCAATTTGGTTTCATACCATCATCAATTAGCTGACTAATTGGTCTCTGGACAAAAAATCTATCGAATCTCGGCAATCTGTCAAATTTATGTTCAGAAATTTTCATATTTGAAAATGGGACAGAAATTGGAAAACATGAATTTTCGTTTTACTAAACTTTCTGCAGTGAGCTTCCTCTGACCGAAATCAAACTTCAAGCACCTAAATCGTGTCAAATGCCATCTATAGTTGACTGACTAATTGGTTTCGGGTGAGAAAATCAGTCAAAACTGTAAAATTTCGGTCCTGGAAATTTCATCTTCAAAATCTGAAAATGGGACAGAGAATGGGACATTAATATTTTTCAATTTTCTTCGAGATTTTGAATTCCAGTACCCCTATTTGGTTTCATATCATCATCAATTAGCTGACTAATTGGTCTCTGGGCAAAAAGTTCATCCAATCTGTCAAATTTGTGTTCAGAAATTTTCATATTTCTGAGATTCTCACGTGCGCGCGACATGACTTAAGAAATTGTTTTCGCGCGCTCCAACATCGACTGCTCATATTTGACAGAGCAGCGTCTGTGCGACCGAAATTTTGCCACACATTTCCTCAAAAAGTGAGGTTAACATCTAAAAAATACAGGTAGGTTTTGGAAAACCTAATTTGTTTATGGAATAACAAATGTTTTCTAACTCATCTCCTCAAATTACTGCACCTTAACACAAGTTACAGAATACTACTATTATACCCGAGTAACTTAAATGGGTCATTTAACAGCAGCCGGGGCCCCAGCGGCCCGACAACAAAATGTTGCTTCCCATGGCCTGGATAAAGATTGTAATATCAATAACGAACTTTTACGAGATCGCAAATGCCTAGTTTCTACGCTAGTTTGGGAGCGATATCCATTTGTTTTGATCGTTCTTCTGTTTTTTACACTGACATCTGTTGTATCTGAATGTTTGAAACGAAATTTTGTATCACCATGTATGATAGCGTTGACAAGGAGAGCTGTTCTTCCGATCATTGATAGAAAATTAATAAAATTCCGGTTATTTCCAAGTAAAAGACAGTAATTTAACAAGAATAAATCCAAAACAAAGCAAATCAAATATATTTTGTCGAATCAAAAGAAGTAAACGTTAATATAGTTGAAATTTTACTTGACAGTAATTAAACAGTGTTAAAGGAAGCCAAACGTATTTGACCACATAAATGTCCTTAAATTGGCCAGATGGTATGATACTGTAAAAATCAAAATAAAGCATTTAAAATCAAACCAAAATAAAAATAGATTTATAACAAAAAGTTGTTAACAAAATCTAATTAGTTAATAAAATGGAAGCCATGTCATAAATCAAAAAATGTAAATCAATCAGCCATCGAGTAGAAAATGAATTTTTATACAAACAGCATCAATTACATCCCATAACATATTGTATAAGTTGTAATGGTAGTATATAGTGGAAAATAACGATTAATATCAAGCGACAAGCGATATCTAAGAAAATGTTTTTGTCAGTCTTACAAAGTCATGAAGTCAAAATGATCATTGATGTAAAAATATTGGAACAACAGAATAATCAAATATTTGCATGCCAATCAACAGGGTTGCCGTGGCTACCATATCAATGAATAATGTTGTGGAAAAAGAAGTTCAATTTAGCATGGGATTCATTTTTCAGAGCTTCAAACATTTTCTTCTTGAAATTCTGTACCGCCACCTGAAGATAAAAGTCATCAAGGTACAATGTACTGTGTCACGTGGTGTTAATACAATGATCTGATTGGTTTGTTTGTGTCACGTGGTATTCAAAATGTTGTCTGATAGACACGCGATAAAATATTTATAAAATTAATAACATTTTCCATAAACCTCATCTCGACAAGTATGAAGGTGTACTCCTACATAATAATATTTCCATAATAGTTTTAGTATTGCTTACAATATGTTAAATATGTTAAATATGCTAAATATGCTAAATATGTTAAACATGTTAAACATGTTATGTAGTCCTAAATCATATATTATGATAATAAAGCTCACCTCCTCGGTATCGTCTAAACTAAGCGCATCCTTCAAGTAGCGCAAATCTTCCAAACTGGAGAGCTCAGGAATGCCACTACTGCACATCAGAGCGAACAAGTTTATAAAGAGCGTACTCTTGTTGCGTATTATTATAAACGCTTGTAAACACGTCTCTAGAAACCTGAACAATATGTTAAATATGTTAAATATGCTAAATATGCTAAATATGTTAAACAAGTTTATAAAGAGCGTGCTCTTGTTGCGTATTATTATAAACGCTTGTAAACACGTCTCTAGAAACCTGAACAATTGTTATTTTAGAGATTTTTGTTTCTTTAACTCGGTGTTTTTTGGAATATGTGTGATTGAAAGTTTAGTGATAAACCGACAAATTCGTAAACAAACGCATTGCACCATTTTGGTGCCCATCGATTGAGCCTCAGATAACTTCTTCTAGTGTCTGAGCTGAGCACACTAAAATATGTGCAGTTTAAGATAAAATATTGTTATTTTCGTCATGTGATACAGTGATACTGTATAAAGTAGAAAATACTCACATTTTGAAAAGAGGATCGTCTCTTGCCTTATCATTGAAGGCCCTATGTTTACCCTTAGTGATAACAGTGATGAAATCAGTCAACATTATCATGGGAACACGCTCTCTTTTGTAAATACCAAGTCCTTTGATGTTCACGGATTTATAGTTTCCCAGGAAGTGGCCAAAGTCTATGTGAAACAGCTGAAGAGAGACAATGATTAGACAACCAATCAGAATACAGTATTCACACCACGCGATACACTCTAGCCAATCAGAACACAGTATTCACACCACGTGACACAATGATTAGATAATGGCGGGAAAACAACAATAAGGGTAAAAACTAAAAACCATGAACTGTATAAAATAAAACAGCCTGGGGTTAAAAATCTAATTAATTAATTAACAAGTAATGAATGAAGGTTACTAATGAACATACCTTTCCAGATTTGGTAACCATTATATTATCACTATGTCTGTCTCCAATTCCCAATATGTAAGTAGCCACACAATATCCAGCACAGCTCTTGGTAAAGTTAGATATAGCATTTTCCATCCTGAGAAACAGATTATTAACCAATCAGAACACAGTATTCACACCACGTGACACGGGCGTGACACACTCTAACCAATCAGGACACAGTATTCACACCACATGACACACTCTAATCAATCAGGACACAGTATTTTTCATCTTCAGGAACAGATTATTGATGCAAAAAAAAGATACGTTATCAGATCTGTCTAAAAACATGATGAAAGTTAACTTAATCCAAACTAATAATAATGATAAATTGAAATTTAATAACACCGCTCAATAAAACGTATACTCAGCAGTGTTTAAACTAGATAAAGTAATTATTAACTAGATAAAGAGATAAAGTAATTATTAACTAGATAAGTAATTATTAACTAGATAAAGTAATTATTAACTAGATAAAGTAATTATTAACTACATAAAGTAATTATTAACTAACGCTGCTTCGCTCTTGTTCTCGTCCTTTAGCCACTTGTAAAGAATATCACTGCTGAAAGCGCCCGTCTTGCCACCTATCTTCTGTATTTTAGAGAGAGTAACTGAGTCCTGTACAGGAGATATGAGACCCATATTCTCACCAGTAGCCATACACCCGTACACACTCAACCTGGCGGGGTATTATGTGTTATACAGTGTACATTATACAGTGTACATTATACAGTGTACATTATACAGTGTACATTATACAGTGTACATTATACAGTGTACATTATACAGTGTACATTATACAGTGTACATTATACAGTGTACATCATTATACAGTGTACATTATACAGTGTACATTGTATAGTGTACATTATACAGTGTACATTATACAGTGTACATTATACATTATACAGTGTACATTATACAGTGTACATTATACAGTGTCCATTATACAGTGTACATTGTACAGTGTACATTATACATTGTACATTATACAATATACAATGTACATTATAGAGACGGTGAGTGAGTCCTGAGAGACTGAGGATTAACTAAGTCCTGTGTACAGGAGATAGGACAGGTTCTATTTTACAGTGCCCTAAGGATATTGTGTTATATAATTACATATGATATATAACTATATCCCCCCCCCCCCCCCCCCCCTTCCCCCCCCCCCCCCCCCCCCCCCCCCTCTTTATAACACAATATAAGCTCACTTGAGATCCATGTTTTCGTTCTGCCACAGTTCGTCCATTAACCCAATTGTTTGTAGAGTAAGTGAGTCTTGCCTCAGGTCATCTCCAGCCTAAAGTGATTCATTAATAACTAAATTAATTAATTAACTCATTAATAACTTGAACATGGGTAAATGATAGGCAGATTCTTGAGCCTCTGGTTGTTCAATTTACACTTTTAACAAGAAATGCGGCCGCTTTTCTTTTGTGGATGGCCGCTCAATTTCCCGATCCGTGATGGAGTATTTTATCATATTCCATACAGCCTGGGGACTCCAAGCTTTATTGTTTATTGCAACCTGACACGGATCTGTGCAAAATAGTAATATACTAACTCGAAATAATATGCTATCAATTAGTAACCCTTATCCTTGACTCTTTTGTGCCTTCGGCACATGAGTCATGGATCGGGAAATTTCAAAGAGAGTGTAACTTCAAATTCGAGACCTTAAAATTGACGGATAATACACATCGAAGTAACTACAAAGAAAGTGCCAAATAAACTTGCCCATACCCCACTGAACATACCTTGTACATTTCAATTAGCTGCTCTCCCAAATCATCGTGATTCTCACATGTTAGCCACAGTGGCTTCTTCTTACTGTCCATCACTCTGAGAAGTTAACATGGTTACCGTAGTTACCATAATTACAAGGAGAATAGAACAAGAATTTCGAATTTGTAGAGTTGTTTATAAAGTAAGTTAGCTAGGGAATTAGGGAGGAAAAGTTAGAGTTAAAACTGCGAGCTATGATACGAAAATGTAGCCCCCCCCCCCCCCAACTGTAAAACGAAAGAGGAAAGTGGCTGTGATTATACCTGCACTTGTCGATGACGATTTTCCTGACTTTAAAGGTAGGGTTACTAAGGGCCTGGTAAGGAAGCAGTGTAGCGTTAGCGTTACTCAGAGTCTGCCTGACCTGGGCTAGTACGTTGGACTCTCCTCCACCTGCCTGTCCTTCCTGTAATGACGGGTAATTGGTCAATTAGTCAATTAGTCGATTAGTTGATTAGCTGGAAGTTGATTAGTTGATAAACTAATTAAACTAATTAAACTAATTAATCATGTGATGACTTACACTACTTAGTTAACTTACACTGAACTTGGTTTCTTCTTTTGCTTTCTTAGCAGCACCATGGAACAGCTCCAGAGCTTTGTGCTGAAACAGAGGGTTCATTGTAATATTAAAGCAGCTATGGGGGAGCATCTTCACAAAGTTCTTCCACAATAAACCTCTAACCCCACATGCACATCTATTATCAGGAAATCATTATTAGACTGGAATATTCAGTCGGGCGGTCTACATGAAGTAAGATTGCCCTGACACTGTTGGTTCTAATGATAATAAAAGCTCTTCAAAGTAAATTAGTAATAGTGATACGGCTACAATACAGTACTATATTTACTGTATTAAAGTAGGAAGTATCTGGATATGGTTGATAACACAACAGAATATGCCATGTTGTAAAATTATACGTGGTACAGTAGAATCAGTACCAAATTGCAGCGCGAGTATCGTTGACACAACGGCAGAAAATTGTATAATTTACTGCTCCATGATACATTAAACAGAACAGTGTACCACCGTACATACAGTGTACCAGGTATAACATTGCATTGTACATACAGTGTACATTTATATATATATACCTAGTGTACTAACTACTAAGTGCTAGATATTAGGTTTGGTGTTAGGTTACAACATATAAAAGTACCAACTACACTACATTCCACCAACTACACTACATTCCACCAACTGCCAATAAACAGAGATACTTTTTACTCTTGATTTCAGAATCCAGCGGTTTTACCACGTATTCGCCGCTCTGCCAGCGGTGTTAAATTGAGGAGATCCAGTCGACGGCTGTATGGAAGAGTACCCACCTCATCAATAAGACGGGTAAATCGCCTCTGGACGCTCTCCAGCTCCAAAATAGTGGAAACTATTGAACACAATACTCTGTATATGTTACAATATACCATTTTAGCTTTTAACAATCATGAAAACAAAATGGTACATCTGCAGATAGACCACCTTCAAGAAACTTATCTTCTATAAAACCGGTATATCTATACACATTTTATATAATTTAGCCAACCCAAATGGTATATCTTCAGATATACCATTCTCAGTTAAATTATTTTATTGTTTATAGTATAGAAAAAATGGTATATCGTGAGATATACCAGTTTTGGTACAATTCTAGTTTTTAAAATGGTATATAGACAGATATACCATTTTTTAGAAGTGTTTTTTACACATGATATAGAATCTTTAAATCAGTAAAATACATTTATCTCAAAACTATCAAAAACAGATATACCAGTTTTGCATGTGGTCCCTCATATATACCTACTAACTACTAAGTGCTAGATATTAGGTTTGGTGTTAGGTTACAACATATAAAAATACCAACTACACTACATTCCCGCATTCCACCAACTGCCAATAAACAGAGATACTTTTTACTCTTGATTCCAGTGGATCCAGCGGTTTTACCACGTTTTCGCCGCTCTGCCAGCGTTGTGAAATTGAGGAGATCCAGTCGACGGCTGTATGGAAGAGTACCCACTTCATCAATCAGACGGATAAACCACCTCTGGACGCTCTCCAGCTCCAAGATGATCCCCCAACTTCCATGAGCCGCAACTTGATTGAACACAATAAGTTCTAAATGTGGTCTTATCAAAGTATTGCAGATGGATATCATCACACATTTCTCCCTAATGATCAAATTTCTAACAATCCAACATATCATCTGAGTGGAGTTGGGTTAAAAACATATAAGAGATACGATGATTTAACTTGTAGAAGCTTTCAATAAACATGTGTTAATCGTCGTCAGCTGAATGTGATGTGGTGGACAATGCTTATATGTGATTGAGTGGTGTCAGGGATGGAGGGTGGGGGAGGTGTGGGTGGGAAAGTGAAAATTACAGTACAATGTCAATAAAAATTTAGTCTTCTGTTGAGGTTGAGAAGGAAATGCCAGATGGTCTGGACTTTAAGGATTTGGCAATTTTAGGAAGAATGGGGTCCCAGAGGGAACTACATTTGGGTGCGCGGTCTGTTCTGTTCATAGCTGGTTGTCGTATTTGTATCATCTGGTTAGCTTTAGATATTGAGGCTTTAATCTGTTCATTCCAAAGCAAGGAATTATGGGTTATAACGGATAACCCTTAATAATATATATAGTATTTTTTCTGTACAGATTCTTCTAGAATAACTCCATTAATAGAATAACTTGATCTTGGGTTATCATTAAAGTCTAAGTGCAAAACTGAACATTTACTATGATTGAACCTCAATAGGCACTTACTTTCGCACATTTCCAGTTCCTTCAAATCTTTAACTATATAGCTATATTGCCAATAAGTGCCATGCTGAGACACATTTCCAATGAGCTTAAGGTCATCAGAAAATAATTTAATTTTACTCTTAATGTTTTTTTCATACTTAATCAAGTTTGCTTTAACATCCTCATTTTCATAAATACGTTGTTTGCTGCTTGCATGACTGAGGTTACAACATAATTAAACTAATTAAACTAATTAAACTAATTAAACTGAGATTACAACTAGACGGTTCTGTGTCAAACACAGTCTATGCTTTATCCTTGTTCTTTCTCATACGCTTTGCAATGCAACTCATCCCGCATAAGTTGAATATCATTAGAGCAACTAAAATCCTAATTAATTAATATCTGAAGAAACACCTAGTTCGACTAGCACACTTACGTGATCACTCTGTGAAATTAAATTTACTAAAAATACAGTCAGATAAAATATTTGCTTGTGTTTGGATACCTGTGCCCAGATCTGCTCTGTTCTGGCTACGTTAGATCGACAGTACGCTTCCAGTATCAGTCCAAATCTTGTAGTCAACTCCTTCTGGTGCATTTCAGACCTGAATTGCCCGATTAGAACAAAGAATTCACACCACGTGACACATACTAGCCAATCAGAGCACGATATTTTCACACCACGTGACACATACTAGCCAATCAGAGCACGATATTTTCACCACACGTGACATAATGCAACCAAAACCGAAAGAATATACAATACTTTGGTTTTTGTATTTACCTGAGATGCCAGAAGAAGGCGTGCCCAATCCTGCTGTTCTTGATGGCACGCTTCAGAAGGAACCTCGTCAGACTGTTATCTAGGTACGACTCGTACTTTAGAACCTGGGTATGTCTGTTGTAGTAACCATGGTAACTTCACCATGGTAATTGGTAATTAGGTATAATTGATTATTAAGTTAGTCTAGGTTTTTTAGCTTCAAAGTGACTAAATGTCGTAAGATCTTCAAATGTGTACAAATTTAAAACATTGCAACTAACAGATATTGATTTAATAAGGTAAAATATAAAACAATGTTTTATTGTTCTAATCCTCCTCTTGTCCTAAGATGGCGTTTCTCTTGTATCATATAACACTGTGTATATATAGTGTACACTATAACATTCGGGCTCTCTGTAGATTCTTAATAACTTAACAAATTACCCACAAATCAATACTGTGTATTATCAAATGTAAAAGTAAAAGCGAAAGCGAAAGCGAAAGCGAAAGTTAAAGTTATTAAGTTAAAGTTAAAGTTAAAGTTAAAGTTAAAGTTAAAGTTAAAGTTAAAGTTAAAGTTAAAGTTAAAGTTAAAGTTAAAGTTAAAGTTAAAGTTAAAGTTAAAGTTAAAGTTAAAGTTAAAGTTAAAGTTAAAGTTAAAGTTAAAGTTAAAGTTAAAGTTAAAGTTAAAGCGAAAGCGAAAGTGAAAGTGAAAGTGAAAGTGAAAGTGATACCCCGCACAAGTGACCACCCACCTGAACAAGTTGCAGCAGATAACAGCCAAGCTGCGAGTTACTCAGGTTCTCCAAGCACTCTACTGCGAAGTCACGCACGTACACATCAGGGTACTGATAATCTAGCAGTTCTAGCGCGTACTCCGGATCCAGGGGCTGCCACGACTTCACCAGCTGCTTCATCTTGGAGGGAGGGGGTCAGGGAGTAGTCAGTAGGGGGGGTCAGGGAGGGGGTTAGGGAGGGGGGGAGGGGAGGGGGGGAGGGGAGGGGGGAGGGGAGTAGTCAGTAGGGGGTCAGTAGGGGGTTAGGGAGGGGGGTTAGGGAGTGGGGTTAGGGAGGGAGGGGGGTTAGGGAGGGGGGTTAGGGAGGGGGGTTAGGGAGGGGGGTTAGGGAGTGGGGTTAGGGAGGGAGGGGGTTAGGGAGGGGGGTTAGGGAGGGGGTTAGGGAGGGGGTTAGGGAGGGGGGTCAGGACTCAGGGAGTAGTCAGGAGGGACCAATGGGGCTCTTGAAAACTCACAATCACGTACTACTCCATGAAACTAAAAATCTCTTGCTACTTTAATTTAGGAACAACTTGCAGGTGGAGCAGGCTTGAGTAAGACAAAATTAATGAAATAATAATGATCAGCAGTAAATGTTCTACTTTGATAAAGTGTACTTACGATAGCAACTTTCTTGTGGTCGCTCCAGTCAAAACTCTTCAGTAGTTTTGGAAGAGAATTCTTCAGCTGACCCTGACAGTACACCCTGAAATAATTTACAATGAAGATATAATTATCTTATAAAGTAGATACAAATTTTATAAATATTCATATATTTTATCCTTCTCCTCCTTAGTTCTTCCGCTCAAACTTCACAGCAACAAAAATAAGAAAACGTCATAAGATCGCTCAATTCGTATTTTGTTAGTGCCTCCTCGGGTCAGAACAATAAATCACCTCACAACAGTTACTAGTTACTACTACTAGTTACTACTACAGTTACTACTACCCACCTCATCTGCCAGAGAAGTGTTTTCTCCTGCTCGAATATGTCTTCAAGCGGGTCCTTGCTCACAACTTTGGTTAAATTCACGATGTATGAGTCAGGGGGGTCTGTAGCGTGAGAGAGACAGAACACTATCTGAACAAAGTTAAACTGAGTGGGAAATACAGAAATGCAATAGCGTGTTGATTTTATGATATAGTGACCAGATATTTTGTAAAGATGACTGTAAATCAACGGAGATCAATAACACATTAAAAACTGAAGTAAGTAAAGAAGGTAGCGATAAAGAAGTCAGTGGTTAAGATAAACTTTAATAAGATAATGTTTAAGCGGGAGTACCTTTTAGTATATAGTACCTAAAGTACCTAAAGTACCTACCTTATCATCAGATCTGACTTTCTCGTGACCATGTCTCGCAATTGCACGTTCACTCTCCTCCCGCGCCTCCGTCAGCAACATAGCACTGAGACTGCAAATGCGCTTCATATCCGGATACTTGACGTTGGTAATGTTGGAGGGGAACTTGAGGGTTAGGGTTATACACTCGTCTTTAGTGTTGGAGGTGGTCGTGCCTGATGGGAGTAACTAATCAGATCATGTGACAGAAACTTACACAAATCAAAGTATAACCGATTAAAACACAGTTCTTACATAACCTAACTCAACCTAACTTAACCCAAGAAAACAGTCTAATCGGAGATGACAGAAAATACAGGAAAGTCGGTATTTCTTATCGATTAAATTTACATACACTTTTAAAATCATTCAGTGTCGAAGTTATTACCTATGTAATTAAATGTTTCATCAGAAAGTTGACAGTCCCACATCTGTAGTTTAACATCTCCACTTTTGAGAAGACCTTGGTAGTTGAAGAGCGGTATGTTCGCCCACGCTATCGATTGCTGAAAATATTTCGTTCAACATTTTACTGTAACCATTGCAAACTCTAGATGTTTACCCCTACCCCTCCGTAACGTGTAATCAAGATCTACCTCCCTGTCAGCAATCAAGACATGACCCCCCCCCCCTTCCTCATCAACCTTACAAACTTTCTGAAAAGTTTTGACATCTTCGACCCAAATCTAGTTAGATGACAGATAATATACTTCTTTTTTTTTCGAAATTTTCCGGCTAACCGGATATTAATATATTCAGCCGACTATCCAGTTCTCCGTTGGCTGGTAAAAAGGACACCACATTTCTTTGGTGAGTAGATTAACATTCCAATGCTTGGTTCTATCAGTACTATTATAAAGATATAAGGTCAAGTAACAAAGTTCTACTCATTTTAGATGTTGTAAGAGTAACTCTCTAGATATTGTCACGAACTTTTTGTTCAGTTAACCTTTTGCGATCGTTCTTTCTCCGAGAGTAAACAGTTTACAATTGTTTTTAAGTCGAGTTTTCCGTAACATCCATTTTTTTAGCTAATCTAAATTATAAAATATTCAATATTCCTTGATCATAATCTGAATTTAATCAGTTATGGAAGCCTGACCACAACTCTTGCTATTAATTATGATGGTGACAAAGATTTAAGATGTATTATATAATATTAGTGACGCTAGTGTCCTTGGTGATCATAGGGTCTACCCTTGCCGGTGAGTACACCTTGTTATCTTATTAATAATGTGTGTAAATATAAGAGGATTACTCCTGATCGGTTTGTTTGTGTCACGTGGTGTTGATACTGTGCTCTGATTGGTTTGTTTGTGTCACGTGGTGTTAATACTGTGCTCTGATTGGTTTGTTTGTGTCACTCCATCAAACTCTTCATAACGTTATCCATACTCAAACCAAGACGTAACAAATACACAGTATTACTTCAATTGCCTGTATTATAGCGCATCCTATATGTTAATTGAGTGTTAGCAGAAAGAAAACACACACCAATTAACCAGGTGAGTGTGGGTTGGGCTGCTGGGAAGACAAAAATAACAGAGCAATAGCTGGCGGCAAAAGGAAGATCAGTCCAACAAGATGTTACAAATTAGCCAAAGAAAAGGGCTACACAGTCTTCGCAATTCAAAGCGGAGACCAGTGTTTCACTGCAGAGGATGCTCATATAACCTACAAAAAATATGGAAGTTCGACTGATTGTAACGATGGCACGGGAGGTTCCTGGGCTCAAAATGTCTACTATGTCGCATGCGAGGGTAAAAAATTACAGTCATCAGTAGATTCTCTTTCAGTTCTTCAATGAATTATATAAAATATTTAGATATGATATAGACGATCATAATCATTATCTTATGATAACATCATCTTTTGATATCGTAACAACAGGGCTGGCTTAGTGGCTACTTCAACGACTAAGAAATTGGACGTAAAACTTCAACTTTAATATTTTTAAATGAACCATATTTAAAACAGTTAGAAACAACTGGTATTCATGAATCATGAATGATACATCCCCACTGCTAAATTTTTTTTACATAGCACTGCTAAATTTTCATTCATGGATACCAAAATTTACCAACTTGATGTTTACTTGCAACTGTTTCTAACTAGTTCAATCTCAATACCACATTAGAACCAGTTCTCGAACACTGGAGAGAGTATGGATCATTGTCAACCTGTCCACCCTGCCCTGGTTTGTACTTTATTTTAAATATTGAACAAAATATTACGCATTCAGAATTATTCCCACAAACAAAACATTTATTTTTGAGTCTAGCTCCGGCCAGGATGCATTTCCAATCCCGGTCGACTACTAGTCATTCATTTCGTGATTTATGCAGTATGCACGTACACATTTCAATCCCTGTTTCAGTTAATGGCGGATGGACTGGCTATGGAGACTGGTCAGTGTGCTCATCGGAATGTGGACCAGGAACCCAAACACGAACCAGAACCTGCACAAAGCCTACCCCTGCTCACGGTGGAACAGTTTGCGAAGGAGAAGGTTCTGACGAACAGGAATGCAATACTAAAGACTGTCCGGTTAATGGCGGATGGACTGGCTATGGAGACTGGTCATTGTGCTCATCGGAATGTGGACCAGGAACCCAAACACGAACCAGAACCTGCACAAAGCCTACCCCTGCTCACGGTGGAGAAAAATGTGTGGGGGGAAACACTGATACTCAGTCATGCAAAACTAAAGACTGCCCAGTTAATGGCGGATGGAGTGAATACGGAACCTGGTCAGTGTGCTCTAAGACCTGTGGAGAAGGAACCAATACCCGGACCAGATCCTGCACAAATCCTTCTCCTGCTCACGGTGGAGCTGAATGTTCTATAAACAGCACTGAGACTCAGCCATGTAAAACTTATATGGGAACAAAGAAGGAGGTTGAATGCTTCCTAGAAGTAAGCAACTGTGCTGAAGGATATTATGGATACGGAAATAACTGCACTCAATGTCCAGTGGGAAAAACAAGTAAAGCATTTGCAAAACAAGCTCATGAATGTGAAAAACCACAAGCAAACCTCGCTGGCCTAGTAGGACCGGGTGCTGGAGGGTTGGTCGTTATCCTGGCTATTCTTCTCATCATTATTTTAGTTATCCGGAAGAGAAGACGAAATAGGGGAGATGTTTTAGTATCAAGAACCGAGCCCTCTACAGGAAGTGGAGTTGTTTCTCCAAGACACCTTAGTGTGACAGACCCAGAGAGTGACTTACTTGACTCTAACAACACTTATGCTGTCATCGACAGACGTGTTACAGTAAATACAATCAAGGCTTTAGGTAATGTGGTGCCATCGAGTACAGATAGCTTCTCCACAACTCAGGGTGGATATGAGCTGGACGTGATGGGATCTAACCTCGCTACATTAAACACCGAAGGGGATGCATCTTACGCAACTTTAGGTGAAGTTAAGAGGGCCTCTTCTCCTACTCACGGTGAAGAAGAGAGTTCGTACATGTGCCTGGACAGATCTGGAACAAAGAAAACCGGAGGAACACACAACATGAAGGCAAACACTGATCTTCAAGAGAACGACTCCCTTTACGCTAACACCGGAGATAGGTAAGGTTACTTTTTATCGTGCCCATAATTTATATCAATATTTCACACAAAGTCAAAAGAATACAATAATTAATGAAGGGTATTTCTGCGTAAACTAGTTAAACTGTACTGGAAATGAAAGATAGTATCTTTATTCCAAATAATAAGCGGACACTCAACAGAAAGCAAGGCAGAGTTGATGATGCAGTTGAAGAGGAGCTGCTCTACACAAACTTTAATCAGTTTAGTTCTTCCTCAGTAACAAGGTAATATAGATATGAACTTAATACTTATGTCCTTTTCAATGCCAATAGTAGGTACATATTTGTTTTACTTGCAAGGATTTAACCAATTCTATTAAAAACTTCGCTGTTATTATCAGTATTTATCTCCAGTGGATCCGTCAAGAGGAAAGAAGGAGAAGAAGGAGAAGAGGACACGTACGCTACAGTAGAACTGGTGACTACATCCAGTCTGAGACAGAGAGAGGTAAAGTCAGAGAGAGGTGATGTGAACTACTCTACAGTATCTGAACTCACTGAGAATACTGATATTTAGAATACTGGGGATATTTACATGAACGTGGACAAGGACTAAACCTGGGTGATTTGACATCATCCGCGAATATTTTAGTGGTTATTTTAATTAAATCATACCTATACTAGAAATTGCACAGAATTGATAAATAAATGAAGACGGTGTTTATTATGTTAACATTTGTACCCTAATAATTTTTGACGCAAGAGGTGAGGTATCATGTGTTGAATTTAAATTATGATTCAATGATAATATCAGGAATTCCGTATTTTTAACGAAAAGCAGAAAAGCTGTAAAAAATAAAACATAATACTTTGAATTTTGGGCTGATTAATGTTCGTATTTATCTATTCAACAGTATTCATTTAGTTTTTGTACATACCATAATTTAGTTATTGCCAACATTTTCTAGAAAAGACTATTTAATGAAAAGAAAATTCTGGACACAAATATAACAGGGAACAAACATAATAGCTTCTTCATTAGCAGGCCAAAGATCTTTCAGCGTGATAGGTCCCAAAATCTTCAACAACCTTCCTCTGTCTGTTCAAAGCTGTCCTACTAGTAATACTGAGTGGAGTTGGGTTAAAAACATATAAGAGATACGATGATTTAACTTGTAGAAGCTTTCAATAAACATGTGTTAATCGTCGTCAGCTGAATGTGATGTGGTGGACAATGCTTATATGTGATTGAGTGGTGTCAGGGATGGAGGGTGGGGGAGGTGTGGGTGGGAAAGTGAAAATTACAGTACAATGTCAATAAAAATTTAGTCTTCTGTTGAGGTTGAGAAGGAAATGCCAGATGGTCTGGACTTTAAGGATTTGGCAATTTTAGGAAGAATGGGGTCCCAGAGGGAACTACATTTGGGTGCGCGGTCTGTTCTGTTCATAGCTGGTTGTCGTATTTGTATAGCTGCGTGTTCTGTGAGGTCAAGTTGGGAGCGTGAGGTGAGGGATTTGAGGACTTCGATGTTGTTCCAGGAGATGGTGTGGCCGGTGGTCAGGGCATGATGTGCAGGGGCTGATTTGATTCTGTCTGTGGATTCGTCGATGGCGTTGTTGAGTCTGTAACATCGTTCGTGTTCTTTCATGCGGTGGATCAAGGGTCTGTAGGTCTGTCCGGCGTATTTGGAGGGGCACTGTGAGCAGGAAATTTCGTAGATGGTGTTGGGAGTGAGGTGAGTAGGGGGTGTGGTCTTCGTTTTGGTGAGGAGGTTGCGGAGGGAGGTAGCAGAGGAGTGGGTGACTTTGATGTCGTGTTGTCCGAGTATCTTGGAGATGGGTTTGGATAGGGAGGGATGGAAAGGAAGAGAAACACTAAGGGCATGTTCACGGGTCTGTCGGTTGAATGAGGCTAGGGATTGGTGGCGAGAGGGGTTGGTGAATTTCCGTTGTACTTCGTCCATGATGGTGGTGATGCGGTGAGGAGGGAAGCCGTTCTGGAGGCAAACGTGTCGTACTGTCTGGAGTTCGTCGTCAAGGTGTTGGGGTGAGCAGATGTTATGGGCTCTTCTGGTCAGTGATCGGATGACTGCGTTCTTAGATGAGTTGGTGGTGCAGGAGGAGTACTTGGTGTAGAGGTTGGTGTGGGTGGGTTTTCTGTAGACTGATGTGGATTTGTCAGGGTGGATGAGAACGTCAAGGAAGGGTATAGTTCCGTCTGTAGAGGGATGTTCTTGGGTAAAGTTGAGGTCTTCAGTAAGGGAGTTAAGGAATGTAAGGAAGGATTCTGCGTGGTTTCTGTCTCTGAAAGATCCAAGGCCGTCGTCAACGAAATGGGAGTAAGTGTTCGGAGGGTCAGGACATGAGGATAAAGCTAAGGTCTCGATTTCAGCAAGGCGGATTTCAGCTAGTTCAACAATGAGGGGGGATCCCATTGTACCACCTTCGTCTTGGGAGTAGAAGGAGCCGTTGAATTCAAGGTATGAGTTGTCAAGGCAAAAGTTGATAAGGGAGCCTATGGTGGTGGTGGTGACATTGGAGGGAAGACGAGAGGGGTTCTGTTCAAAGGAGGAGATGACAGTTTTGAGGGCTAGGCGCATGTCACAGGAGGTGTACAAGGATTGGACGTCTAAGGAGGCGTGGTAGTGGAAGGAGGGATTGAGAGAGGAGTCGAAGCGATGTTTGAAGTCGGAAGAGTCTTTGAGGCGTAAGGGGTTCTGGGCTAGGGGTTTGAGGAAAGATGCGAGGACTTTGTGGAGGGCTTGGAGGGGGGTGTTGTAGAAGCTGACTACGGGACGGATAGGTGCGCCGGGTTTGTGTATCTTAGGTTGTCCGTAAAGTTGAGGCCATCTAGGATGTAGGTTGCGCATCTTGTGGTATAGGTCGGTCGTGATCTTCTTGTCGGTTTGTAGTTTCTTGAGGACTTTCTGTAGTTTAGTGGTAACGGATTGAGTGGGGTCTTTCGTTAAGAGGGTGTAACTACCTGAGGATAAGTGGTCGGTAACTTTGGTTATGTATTGATCGTGAGTCAGTACAACAGTGGCGTTGCCCTTATCAGCAGGAAGAAATTTCAATTCAGATTTCTTAGATTTTAAAGATTTAAGAGCGGTACGTTGTTGTGGAGTCAAATTGTCGGTGGTCATATCACGTTTATTGTCAAATTTAGATAATACAGAGGTGACCTGATATGTGGCTGAGGCTTCCATGCCTTCTCCTAGTTGTTTAGTGATGTTCTGTATGAGGGGAGCCAGGTTGGGGGTAGGATCTGAGGTGGGTGTCGGGACGAACTTCAGTCCAAGGGAGAGGACGTCAGTTTCAGCTGTGGAGAGGGTCTGTCCAGAGAGGTTTATCACTGTTTTGGCTGTGGTGTCTTTCTTGGGGGTAGGTGAGGTCTTGAGGAGGGGACCATGAAATGTGGGAGAGGGTATGTCGAGCGTTTTAAGAGTGTCGTAGGGTGAGAGGAACGGGGTGTCGTATTCTGTAATATACTAGTAATAGCTTCAAATCGGCCCTCAAGACTTATCTGTTCAGTTTATCAACTCAGGATTTGGAAAAACTTTACTCATGAACTCGAGACTCTAGGTTACTGAGTTATATTATTATATCGTGTATTGCCGGGAAGGCTGTTAATTTAGGATAGAGTTTTTGTGGCACTTATCTCAGTTTGTTCTTTTGTAGTTGTTCTCACACAGCTGAGTAAAAGTTTTTCAACTTAAAAGCAGTGTTTATAATTCAATTTATTATTATTATAATACATATAAAGTAGGCAGATGAAGTAATAGTTTCATACGACCATCGTAATAAGTTAGGGGTTTTATTAGGCTCTGATGGTTATAACTTTTAAGATTAAACTAATATAACTAATCCACGCGCACAGGCTTGTTCATTCAGTAACTACAGATAGCTCTTATCTTCACCAAACAGCAGAGGCAACGTTTAGGTGCGGCGGGTGCAGAATCGCACTTTTAGCAGTCTCCTGCACATGGTCTCCCCCACATATTCGCACGTCTTGTTTCCCGCACATATCTGCATAGCCAGTCGTTTTTCGCACAATTTTGAGCTACCAGCACAATCTTGCACAATTTTTAGTATAAAAAACTGGGGTGACTTTAGACAACTGCATGTTTTCATTTGGCTTGTTAGATTCAAATCTGGGGTGACTATATACACCTTAGATGTAATATGTATAGTTTAGACTTAAACTCTGGGGTGACTTTAGACAACTGCATGCCAACAGATTCTTGTTACCATTTAGTCAGTCTTGTAAGCTTGTTATGTTCAAATCTGGGGCGACATAACACCTGTGACCTGTACCTAGGTAGAGTTTAAATGTAAGATCCAGGGTGACTTTAGACTGTTAGACTCCAGCATGTCTTGTTAGTTTGTTACTTGTTTTTTTGTTTACAGCTTGTTACTGTAATCTTTGTTCACTGGTAATTGGATCCATTTAATTATGTATTGGTTCTTGAATAGCACCGTACAACCAGTTTCGCCAGCTGCTAAGAAGCCTAAAAACTGTTTCTTCCAAACAAGGTGACCTCTCTGCTTCATTCTGCCAGTCATATTGAGAAATTCTATGATAGGGTTGGATCATGGAAAAATACTATTGTTCAATTTTCCGAATTTTCCAAAATGTTTAATCACCATATTATATCTGTGTCAGCTAAGTTTTAAATTTATCTAAAATTAAATAAAATGTCACTCACAGATCGTCTTCTTTTAACGGAGAAGAGGACACAGCAAAGTCTCACATTCCTAGGCAGATCAGCAATGTCAATGTCGAAGGTCATCAGCTCGTTCCACTCAGGGTTGCGGATAGCAATACCACCCGATGCTGTGGAATAGAAATATTATCTTACACATTATATGATACCAATCCATAAATATATGCTGTAAAAATGTGGTTGAAATTTTATTAAAACCGAGTTTTTAAATCTGAACTGCAAATAAAGCGATCAACATACATCTAAATGAATAAAACCAGGTTTAAAACATTTTTTTATTTAAGGTTCAAGCAACTTACATTGAGTTTTGACTTCAGCAACGAGTGGCTCTCCCCCATGATACAAGCACATCTTCACAAACCACTGTGACCCATCCTCTCCCAAAACATGTTTAGCGTGCCCCACGGTTATGCTGAACTTCCCTTCTACATCCCACAAATCCTTAGGTCTCTGAGTAATACTGTCAGCTTCTCTGTCCAGAACTCTCAGGCTGGAACACCTTTGGAAGCCCTTGTCTGCAAGAACCTCCTTTAGGGATGCTCTCTTGACTATCACTACACTTACTAGTTTGTGATCAGCCAGGCACTTCTGAACATATTTGAAATGAATAATCTGGTTATTTCCGTACAAGTACTCTTCTGAACCACACACCTTCAGAAAGTAGAGTCCTGCGTCGTATTCTGAATCTCTGATCTCATGCAGCTGATACCAGCGGTCTAATGCTGTTTGTATGACTTGCGTTGGGGGGCAATCTATCAAGGTTTCAATAATTGTGTCTATGTATTTATTTGCATTGGAAAACCTCCCAAAATGAACATGAAACTTTGAAACTTTGTTTTCAAGGATGTCATTGGACAGTTCTGGAAGAAGAACAGGTGGAAAAACTTCTTCCATTCGTTGGATAATGGACTCATTCTTTCTTTCCTTCACTACCTCTTCACACATCAAGTGGATATTTCTTCGAAAATCCTTTTCTTCTTTCCCATTCATATTCAGAATCTGAAGAATTTGTGAAAGCATTTAATTGCCTTACCCTAATAGTTTTGAATTTCAAATGGATATGAAACGAAATTTCTTGTTACACTAATCAGTAATCATGATAAGAAGCTGAACATTGAATGTAAGAAGAAATTTTTAAAGAGATTCATATCATACAATAGAATATAATTTTAGTTAACTCACTCTGAAAATAGGCAGGCAGATGATTGATCCAATTCTCATGTTGAGTAACTTTTCATCTCTGTCACCAATCTTTTCAACAACAAGTATGATTGAGCGAAAGATCTTGAACTCATATAATCTTATATTTTCGTCAAAGATTTCTTCTTTTTCAAGTCTGCTGTTGTAACAATTGAAAGCATAGCGAGTTGGCACATGGAGTGTATCATAACCTGGGAGGCTTTCAGCTTGCTTCCACAACTGATTCTTGACTTGAGCAAAGGTTTGCATTACATCAACCTTTAGGTTTATCATGAGTCCCATTGGCATCAGAAACAACAGGTCTTTGTACTGGGATTTGGCATCACCAAAAAACTGGGACTCAAATTCTCCCAAGGAGGTACGGTGGTCATAGTCAAGCATGACAGTGCCTATGCTGGTTTAATTTGCACAATCAATCCATCCACCTGAGTTTAATTAGTATATTAAATTGGCATAAAAACATACTTTATTAAATTACTAGTGTAACCCGTGCCTACGGCCGGGACTTCACTATCGCAGTGGAATTCATGCAAAAGTATATATTTGAAAACACGCATAACATTGTCGTATGAAAGTATGAACTCTCTCTACAGTCCAAACAGACTGCAATGAGTGCCCTCCCTTCTAATAAGCTTATAGTATTACATAACAGTTAATCTTGTGGCTATCCTAATTACGATTCATGTACCAACGCTACATAATATGAAGTTATGGGAGAGATAAAAAACAAAAAAAACATTTGACTTTGTCAGAGTTTTGCCAAAACTATACCAAAAACTATTACCGTTTTCTTGATTAAGTTGCTCAGAAATTACACACGCACGCACACACATACACACATATTGAGATTATTATTTAAGATATATTTGTTGAACTCAGCAATATTGTCACAATAATCTGCTATAACTTCTAATACATTAGATTTAATTTCAACAAAGTACCCTTTATCGAGAATTTTCTGAACATTCTGTTCAGTTGATCGCGATGCCATGTGCCTTTAGGGGTCGTTCACATATTACGTAATCAGCCAAGGGGGGAGGGGGGTTTCCAAATGCTTACGGTTGATTACGGGGGGGGGGGGGGGGGGTTTCGGTCATAGATTACGTAATCAAAATTTTCTTTGACAATATTTTAATTCAAATTCCGCTCAATTTCACGCTGATAGTGAATGATAAAATTTAGAAATTGATTGAATATCCGGCTATAATAGTAAGTAGTTTAGAAGGTGCTTGGCCGGATATCATTACAATGATCTCGGCTCATCATGATAGCATGATCAGGGTAGCATGAAACGTAGAGAAAAGTCAAGGGGGGGGGTCAGGTTATGATTACGTAATATTGCTGTCAGGAGGGGGGGGTTGGGTCTTGATTACGGTTGATTACGGAAGGGGGGAGGGGGGTAAAAATTGCTAAAATATTGATTACGTAATATGTGAACAACCCCTTAATAGCACATCCTCATCTCAAGCAATGTCACCTAGTCTAGGGAGCGAGCTTAGGATTCCGTTGGATCTATGCAACATTGCACATCTGTGTAAAATTTCCTTGGTTATCTCAATGAAACAAGAATTTTTTGTTCAATGAAATAAGAAAAAAATCTCAACCGAATAAAACCCTGATTGATTGTTGAATAAGGAGGAGCCCTGCCAAAAGATCTAGTATCTTGTAAGGGTACCCTTAATTTTAAGTTAATCTGCATGCATTGTTTTGTGAAACCATAATAGTACATGCCCATAAATTAAATAAAGAAAATTTTCTATAAAGCCCCAATGCTAGCTGTTTCCGAGCATAACACTCTTATTACATGACCATCAAGTACGTGTTTATTTTCTATCAACATGTGTAAGAAATCGTCAACAAGAGTTTTATTGAATTGAAGAAAATTCAAACAATATACACATAATATAGCAATGACCCTATATAAAAATTCTTTAAAAATTGTACAAATTTTAAAAACTGAGGTAAAAAATAAAACCCTTTGTAATAATATATAACAAATTCACATCACAACAAAAAGCAGTTTAGGCCCCCATCCAACAAGCACTCCATGACCTTTTAGGATTTAGGAGTGTTGATCAGGTTAAGGTCAAAATCACTTATTGCCATGGGTGGAAGAGTTCTGGTACCTCTGTACCCCCTGATAGAGATTATACAGGTCTTGAGTAGATCAAAACTTCGTAACAATATGTATCCTACTATATCACTTGCTACCCACTTCCGTCCTAACTGTAAAAACTCATGTATTGACAATATCCTCACATCAGAGATAGATCATGTACTTCTCTCCGGTGTATTGAATGATAGGATTGGTGACCATGCCTTTATATTCACCTTCACGTCAATTCCTACCGAAAACAGTACTGAAAAACTTAAACATGTTCGCTACTATGATTATTCAAGGTCCAAACTCACTAATTTTGTTAATGAACTCGAGGTGAAGGTGAATGACTTAACTCCTTCGGTAAACTTCAATGAGTTTTTGGACTGCTTCAATGAAACACTTGATAAACACTGTAAGCTTGATGAGCCAAAAGTTACCAAAAGGACTCCCAAACTCAACCCGTGGATTACCGATGGAATCATTGTCTCAGTTGAAAGAAAACATGAACTCTGTAGAGACTGGTCAAGCACTGTAACAAATAGAAACCCTGAGGGTAATGTACTGCTCTATAAAGTCTTCAGTGACTACCGAAGAATGCTTAAAAGTATTATCAAGGTCGCCAAACGATCGTACTACTGCAATGAAATCTATAAAAATATAGAAAACAGCAAAAAAACGTGGCAGATAATCAATGAGCTCAGGGGCAAGAAAAAGAAGCAAACTAAGCCTCCCTTTATCATAAACAACGAACGAATCATGAATCGTAGAGTCATAGCCAATGGATTCAACTCTTATTTTGTTTCTATTGCCCCTAAGCTCAATGAAACACTTAGTAGCAGTGAGGCCTCTGGTTTACCAATTCTCCCTATAAAAACATTCTATGATTTCCTTGGAAAGAAAAATGAAAAATCGATTATGTTAGAAGACTGTACACCTAATGAGATAATGGAAATAATAAAAGGATTTGAAAATGGAAAAGCAAGTGATATTCCTGTTAGTGTAATCAAAAGATCATCTCACGTAATTACACCGATCCTTAGTCGATACATCAACATCTTAATGTCCAATGGCACGTTCCCCGACGTTCTAAAGACTGGTAGAATAACTCCTGTATTTAAGAAGGGAAACCCTGAAGAGATAGAAAACTACCGCCCAATCTCTACTCTCTCTATATTTGGTAAAATCTTTGAAAAGATCATTTACTCAAGAATATATTCGTTTGTTAGCTCACAGGGTATAATATCTAAATCACAATTTGGCTTCAGGCAGTCACACTCTACTTCACATGCAGTTAATTACTCAGTAAACCTTATAACTGAATCTCTAAAACTTAAGCATCATGTCTTAGGCATATTCATAGACCTTAGCAAAGCTTTTGATACAATAGATCATGGTACATTACTTGTAAAATTACAGGGCTATGGGATACGTGGGGTGGCAAATAATCTTATAAAAAGTTACTTAACAAATAGATCACAATATACTGAAGTGGTTGGTGAGAAATCTGACGCCTTGAAAATACAGTTTGGAGTCCCCCAGGGTTCGATTCTCGGACCTCTCTTATTTCTCCTATATATGAATGATATCGCCAACTGCTCCAGTCTGGGATCATTTGTCACCTTCGCTGATGACACCAATATATTTGTGACTGGGAAATCTAAAAAGGAGGCACACATGCGTGGTAATTCTCTTTTAGCTAGTTTATCTTCCTACATGCGAGCAAACAAACTCCATGTCAACATGTCTAAATGCTGTTTCATTCACTTTAAACCAGCATCGTCCTCCCAGACTGACAATAATTCTGAATATACCCTAACCATTGATAACTTTCCAAACATGCCTCAACCTCCATCAAAAACAATTTTAGTTTTCAGTCCTTCTAGTTTCCAAAAATGTACCGAGCTAGTGTTCTGGTGTGCACAAAAGCCCCTAAGCCCGTGCATTCCTTGCCCCGCTAGCTGCCAGTCCTTGGCAAACTTCCAATAGCAAAGATCAACTAGTCATTTACAAATTGAGCACTATACAATTTTAATTGTTTTAAATATTTGACTTTGTAAAATGAGCTAAAACATTGATTTTATTAGTTTCATTGATTTTATTAGTTTCATTGAAAACGCAGTCTGCGTCTGACAAATGACATCACATCACAATACCGTTGGCCTTTCTTAAGGCTGATCTTTTCAGCGAGATGTTTTAGGAACTGAGAAGCCTTAACTGCCATTCCTCCTGTAGTACTGAACACCAGTGGTGTGAAGGTAGCCTTTTCTACATTGAGGACTCTGTCATTGTACTCACGTTTTTTGTTATTCTCGTGAGATTGGTACATCTGCGAGATGCTCTTGTCACTGTTGGACTGGGCTTGAGGGTGAAGTACCCTTTCATCTGTGAATGCCCTGTCCAGCGGCCACCAGAACGATCTCGCACTGATGTCCAGTCTTGCACCATCCTGTCTATTTGTTCCATTTGATAGTTTAAGTGTGTGAGGAACGGAGAGAAGCTGAGGTTCTGTTTCAACGTCTTTGCAAACAGTGGTTAGGAGTTCAGCTACTGTATACACAGTAAAGAGGCGAGTTTTTGTGGTTCTACAACTTAAGATTTAGCATCGGTGGTTTATATTAACATTACGGGCCCAACTTTCACCTTTCACCTTCTCTGAGTGAATTGTGTCTAAGTGCTCAAGCTCCTTCCAATAAGGCTCTTGGATCTCCAACCAATATGTACAATAGCCACGAGAGACAGAAAAAGAATTTATACAATAAAAGGATTGTAGAAGTGGAACATGGGACGTTTACACCGATAGTCCTATCAACCACTGGGGTATGGGAAGGGAAGCTAATCAGTTCTTTAAGAAATTAGCGGATAAACTATCTAGGAAATCAGGCCAACGATATAGTGAGGCAATGACATTTATTAGGAAGAGAGTAAGATTTGACCTATTGAGAACAACAGTCATAGCTCTTAGAGGAGAGAGAGGGTTGAAAAGTAGTAGTGCAGTAAAAATAGCAGAATTAGATATAAATTTGGAGCCAGTTCTTTAAACTGGCTTACTTATACTACTTAAAGGGTGTTTATAAATTTTATTTAGTTTGCTATTGAATTTATATTGAATTTTTATATAGGGTAATTGTTATATTATGTGTATATTGTTTGAATAATTTTGTTGAGGTAGTAGGTAACTCACGTCTAAGTGAAACATAGCCTCCGATTTTGCAGGTTAGGGTATGGTTGATATGATTTTGTTTTCCACATACACATAGGGGACTTCTGTTAGCTGTAGACAGTGTAAGATTATATCTGAGTGAGAGGGCATCAAAGAATTCTTGTTTGTTGAGGACATACCCAC